CTTGATTATTTTTGGGAATTATTTTTGTATATGAGGTTTAAGTATAGGGTAAAATATTAAGCATTTTTGGAAATTTAGTTTGAAAAACATCTCTGATAGAAATAGTGTTGAGACAAAATATCAATACACTTACATAATCATATCACAGCCTCTTTCAATATGTTCCCAGCACATTCTTGCCAAATGCAGTATTGTGCCAAAGTCTTGAACCACCACTCATTTCTTTATATTTTGCTATAAAAATGGGTAATATGTGCAGCTATTTATCAAAACTAAACAGTATTTAGGGCAAAGTGAGCTTTTGTACACTTGTAACAAGCCTGAGAGTCAAAATTTGGTATGACTGGCAGCCTGATCTCTCTTAGGCACCTATCATGTCATTTCTTTAGGTAGTCTTCAGAAATACTTCTCCAGACTTCTTGAAGGACATTCAAAGCTCTTGTTTGGATGTTGGCTGTCCTCTGTCAGGATGATCCCATGCCGCTTCAATAATGTTGGGTTCTGGGATCTGGGGAAGCCAATCCATCACTGACTGCGCTCCAATGTGTGTTTTTCTATCCAGGCATGCTTTTACTGGGTTGGCAGTGTGTTTGGGACCACTGTCTGGATGCTGGAAAATGAAATAGCTGCCAGTAAGATACTTCCAGATGTTACTGTATGGTGGAACAAATCTGATGGTACTATTGACTCTTTTGGAACAACTGTGTTGGTCCAAATGATTGTTTTGCTAAGTATTATTTACTTTAGTAATTTGAAGGTTAACGTTTCTAAAAGGAATCCCCTTTCAAAAAAGACAACGACAACTGAAAACACTTTTGACATATAGTATCCCATGTGGTTGAAGCTTGTCTGCCTATGTGATTGATTGTGCCTATGCCCTTAGCTCCCAGGGTCAGCGCAGCGTCAATAAGCTGAGCCTGTAACCTTGAACTTTGTCTTAATGTGAGGCGGAGAAATCAGACAATACAAAAGACAAAGAACTTTTTGTCAAGTGTAAGTGTTAAATCACTAAGCGCACAACCCTTAGACACCACATATCAATACACCCGAGAAGCCCTGCAAGCCACATGTTAAATTTAACTACAGTCACTACTTTGCAGCCTCAAAATGAGTGATTGTTTCCTGCATTGAGTGATTTTTTTAGGCATCAGGAAAATACAAGGCCACTGTATAATACAGTACTATAACACCTTTTTAAAGACATACATAGTTCTCAATCACGCTGCAGTGAAACATGTTCTGCATCTATTACGCCTGCAATAAAATTAATACTTCCTTTTTTGGTGATTTGATTTCTACATTTTTTTTTTAGCACAATATCGCTGCAGGACATTTTGTGTTTCTACTTTAATGGTGTAATGTTTGAAACAAACGCAACACAAAAAGCACTGGGGTACAAGAATAGATGCTTGAAGCTGGAAAGCGAAGAAGGAAAACTCAAACTTTTTAAAACACCAAAAGGTTCTCAGATATGTTTGGAAAAGAAGCCAACATCCTGTCAGCTTTGTCTTTGATCACTCGCTGCATTTTAGCACAGCGTACAAAAACAATAAAAGGCGTTCGTTCCCATCAGTGTGAAGGGTTGCCGACTCCAGACATGAATTGAAATCCAACAAGTCTTTAAAACGAACTCATGTGTGTTTAGATCTCATCTTGGATAATATATCATATCTGCATTTCTACTGCTGCAAAATCTCAAGCTGTAAAAAAGAGATCAACAGTCCAACACTAGCAGCAGAGAGGTCAAGGCCAGTAATTCATGCACTGATAGCCATGACTGAAGTCTGCATGTGACCTGTGTTGACATGACATTGAGAGGTAAAGAAACAGTAATGACCACTTTCGAAACCAATAAAAGGGAAACACTGTGATGCTTTCTTTGAAAAGTGAGCCCAGAGGAGTGCAGGACGGGATTTCAAATAACATCACAGGAACACTAAATGGGCTTCCTCTCAGAACCGTTTCTACCAACCATCCAGTCGAATTTACACTTACAGTAAGGCACTCGCACACTTCAACACCTCGAGGGGAGGGGGTTACAGTGGCTGACAGAACAAAGCACCTCTGAGCCCATGGAGCTCCAGACCGAGACTCCGACACAAAGGGTAAATCCATTAAATGGGGGTGTAGGGCGAGGGTGAGGGTGCAGTGGGGGACAATTTTGTGGGCTGCTGAGAGCAAAGAAAATAAGTTACATAAGCAGAGCAGCAGTTGTTAAGTGAATAATTGGAAAAGCAAGAATGTTCAACATTAATACAGAGTCAAATGCACAAAAGAAAAGCTTGTGACTAATCTGAATTTGCAGCAGTTAAATGCTTTTCCTCATGGGAAATCTGCATTTTCCCCCCCACACAGCTGCAGGCAAAATGCACTGAGTGAAGCAAAAGTCAAGTTAGGATCAGTCAAACCTCAACAGTCATTTGACTTTCACACAATCTGCACATTCTTCTTTTGACACAGTGATTAAGTGAGATTAAATAGCTGTGACTGGGCTGTTCACGAGAGAGAATTAACACCAGATGCCACAGGCAGGTAGGTTTTCAAACCCATGCATAGTAATCTTTATTAGGCTTTGCATGATCTCAGTTAGAGCACTTTGGTTGTATGCTGATGAGTAATTTAAACTTAACACAACCAATTCATCCCATACTGTGCGTCTCACACACACACACACACACACACACACACACACACACACACACACACACACACAAATTCACCAGTGTATCAATCCGGTCTGGTGGGTTAGCATTCAGTAAAATTCCACCCTAATAAAAAGCTGGTGACTCTGCGTTGGCCAGCCTCACACCAAAAGCCCCCATCCTTTCACTGTGTGCCAAAGGGTGAAACATGTTTTGATAACAGGGAAGTTGGAACAAGGATGCTGTTTGTTCACAGGGTACAGGCCCACAGAGTGCAAAAGGCTATCTGTTTTATTTATTTATTTATTTACTTATTTTTGACAGAGATGTTGTCCCACAGATGATGCTCAATTAGGTCTGCAGAAGCAAAAAGATGCTCAAGTAGGAGTTAAAGCTTTCTTCAAAAACAAGAAGGTCAGAAAGTAACTGACACTTCTTATGGAGGAGTCAAGACAACACAACAGTATCACTTCTTCATCTTTTAGTTTATGTTCATTGTTTGTTTGTTTTGGGTTTTTTGTTTGTTGTTGTTTTTGGTGGGTGGGGGGTATTAGAGAAACAAATAAAGAAAATAGACAACGATAATGCCAAAATAACAGAGCATTCGAGGACTACTAAATATAAGTGGTCTCTATTTTCCTGAGTGGTATCTTGAATACTTAAACATTGTCGCAAGAATTAAGAGCCAGAGCTGCTCATCTCCTTCCGCTCGGCAGGAAGAACAGCTGTCGAGCTAAACGGAAACAGGTCAACACTCGTGAAACACAGCTTAACCTTCCTATTTTTTTTAACGGTGACACGGACACTCACCGTCAATGTCTCCCAAGGTGAATTCGTCCCCTAATTCCGCTAAAGTCGGGTCCATGTTCTCCATGGTGGAGATATATTCCCCGCTGTCCATCCTATCTGTCAGCAGCTCTCCTCTCCGGTTGTCAACGGAGGGACAAAACAAACAAGGTCCACGAGCTCCTCCGTGGGCGTTCGGCAACGCCTACCACACAGCTAACTGACCGCGGAATATGTCCTCTCAACCCCAAAACAACAGAAGCCCCACGAGAGGAGCACTTCTACACCGATAAACTCATTGGCATCAATTTATGTTTGAGGCGACGCCATCTTGTTTCACGCTCATTACGTCATTCACAAACAGACTCCGTGGCCCATAGCGGGATCTGATTGGCTGAGACCAATTCGTTCTTGTCATGAGACCAGTCATCATCGTCCAATGACAGGCCCGTATTCGCCGTGGTCTGATAGTACGTCAACTATCAGAAGCTTGGGTGTCATTTGAATAAACCGCTCCCCCTACCTTCACGAAAAGCACTCGACCTCGGTGGACAAATGCAGCTCCTTGGAAAAGATGACGGCGATAAACCCACACAGTCATTCTGCAGTCATTCGCCAAACACACAGTTTCACTCGTTTCTTCTATTTTGCCACAGCTAACGTGATAAGCATGTTTTCCAGCGTACAGATTAATACTATCGTATTTATTATTTACATTTTAAAGCTTTAAAGATTACAAGTTGTGTTATAGGAAAAAAAGGGTTAATGGCATATACTCCAAATTTTACTTTTTAAGCATAAAAATTGTATGATATTGTGTTAATAAAAATGAAAGAACTACAGTTGAGCTACTCATCGACTCTATTAGGTAGGTAATCAATCACATTTAGGCATGTAGATAAGGTCGAAATGACCTGCCAAAGTTCAAACTGAGCATCAGAAACACGGAGAAATATGGGAGTTTAAGTTGCTTTAAGTTTATTGGCATAGGTGTTGGTGGCAGATGGGCTGCGCTGTGTGTTTTAGCAACTGCTGATCTACAGGGATTCTGTCCCCTTAGTACCAACTTACCATCACACCACCTGAGTATTGTTGCTGATCATGCCCATCCAGTTATAACTACAGTGTACCTTTCTTCTGATGGTTCACAGGAACCATCAGCAGGATAACACAACCATAAAGCTGACATCATCTCAAACTGGTTTCTTGAACATGAGTTCATTGTACTCAAATGGCCACCACCGTCACAAGACGTCAGTCCAACAGAGCATCTTTGGGACATTGTTGTTGAATCCATGCCAGGAAAAATTAAGTCAGCTCTGAAGGCAAAAGGACGTCCAACCAGGTATTAGTGTACCTAACAAAGTCATCAAATCTACACATTTAAAATGGCACAGATCTTAATTCTAAGCACCATCACATTTTTACCTAATGTGTTTGCAGAATTCTTCAAATGGAGAACCATAGTTGTACTTTTTAACCAATAAATCAACTCCACACATATGGCATTATAAAAAGATAACACAAATATAATACCACAACAAAAGGAAAAAAGAAGGCCAAAAACGTTAGTTCTTGCAACAATATTTGTATTTTTTTTATTTCACAGCAAAAACATGAACACATCAGTGAACTGCTGACTCATTTCCAGCAGATGTGTTGCCTGTATTAACCTGTGTTAATACATAACTGGATAACTCTCCCGGTTTACATATTACGTGACAATAAACCCAGCCAATCGTTGCATATCATTCATTATGGAAACTGATGAGGCGCTTAAGATGACTTTTTTCTGTTTATAATACTCACTGTATTTATTTATTTTTTTAAGTATGATGTGTGCTCAAGGACTAAAGTGTGTTTTAATACCAACCAGCAATGAAATGAACATGTTTAAAAATAAGAAACAACAGAATCAACACCCATCTAATATGTCTTTCAGTCGTCCCACACAAGTGCAAATGTCATGGATTATTCAGCCTCGGCTTGAACCAACATTTAGAATAAGAAATTTCTACCTTTTCTTTCAAAAAGTGGTTTCATATTAATACCGCATACAACTTTATTACACAGATGTTGTTGCTAGCAGTGCATCTTTAATCATTTACATCCATGTAAAAATATCCCTCACTGCAGTAAGCTACTGTGTTGTGTGGTGTTTACTTGTGAAGGTGGAAAAATAAATCTCTTACATCCTGGATTTGGACTCTACGCTCAGCCTGTATTTATTTGTTCCAGTAGAATTCATAAGACTTCTTCTCTGAGTAGGAAGCCTCCGTCGTTCCTGTGCCGCTTCTCACTTTTTCCTTCACCACTTTCACCACCAGACCACCAGCGAGGGCGATGCCGGCTGCAGCTTTGCCGATTTCGGCCACCGCGCTCAGGATGCGCGCTGTTGTCGACATGGTGCCCCACGGGTCTGATGCAACCCTGCTGGCTGCTGTTGCCACACTGGGCCCTGTTACCCCACACACAGCACCAGCGGCCACTTCCTGAGCTAAGGCGGCAGCACACTGAGGAGTCCCAGTGGCTCCTGACACTAAACTACCCTGAGCTACTCCTGCTGCTGCTGCAGTTTCAGCTCCACCGAGGGCAGCTGCTCCCTCCAGAGCTGCTCCTAAAGCAGCCCCACCTGCCATGGTGCATCCCACACCGGCCGCCACCCCGACTGCAGTGGCCCCTATGATACTAACCTGGCTGAGGGTATCTAAAGCACCTTCTGCAGGACTGGAAGCCTCAGCGCTAGCAATGACTCCAACAGAACTACCCAGAACGCCACCTGTTGCTGCGCCTAGAGCCACTGCAGTTTTCCCCGAGGCTGCTGCCACTATGGCGCCCACGGCGTTCCCCACACCTGAGCCTCCCGCCACAGACATCCCAGCTAACTGAGCTGCAGCAAAACCAACCGAGTTCCCAACAAGAGATGCCCCAGCTGCGGCTGCCAAAGGGGCAGCCGCTCCAAAAACTGCCCCAACTGCCATGCCAGTGGCTCCAGCAGCCACCAGGACCTTAACTCTCTCCAGCACCATGGGAGAGAGCGCGGCTTCCCTCCTGAAACGAATTAGTGACGACCGAACAGATGGCCGCCGGCTGACAGCTCTGCCATGGCCCTGATGTCGGCCTCTGATCTGGTCTCTCAGCAGGCTGAAAGGACTGCTTCTGCTCTCCTTTGCCCATTTCTCCACCCTAAGATCATCTTCACTTCCTCTTTCTACCCCTTTCCTCTGGAGCTCTTGTAATCCTCTCTCGCTGCTTCCTGCTATGTCAGACTCTAAAACACATTTCCTTCTTTTTGCAAGTTTAGCTCCCTCATCAGTTCTGCAGTTACTTCCTTCTTGGTCTTCACCATCTGCTTGCCCTCGCTCTCGCAAAATCCTATTCTGCTCCTCCCTGATTGCAGCCTCTGCCTCTAAAAACATAATGTTAGTATAAAACCCTCCGTTACTCTGCCTCACCATACTGTCTACCTTCACCAAGAGCTCTTTAACCTGTGCTGTGTTACTGGGGTCTTTGTTGTTGAGCACATGGTACCTACCCCCACACTTGTCTATCAGAGCCCTCAGCCCAGGAGGTGCAGTCATGTTCAGATATTCTTCTATCCCCATTCCCTCTAGGTCATCCCCCCTTGTAAAAAGAACCACTGTATGGTGAAATACAGCATCCTCCCCAAATATCTTGGCCAGCTCACAAACAGCCTGGTTCTCGTTGTCTGTGTATCGTCCTATTGGCACTACAAGGAGGAAAGCGTGGGGGCCAGGGGCAGAGAGAGACACGCATTTGGCAATCTCTGCATGAATCTGCTCCACACTGAGGTGAGTGTCTCCAAAGCCTGGCATGTCAACAACCATGATTCGCCTCACTCTCCTCTGTGGGACGGCCCGGCCATCTTCTTCAGCGAGCTCAGTGTTTCCCATCTCGCAAATCTGAGTGACAGAGCTGGCGCTGACCTGTGACAGGAACTGCCTGCGGCCCAGGATGGTGTTCCCAGATGCACTCTTGCCAGATCCGGTCTTTCCAACAAGGACCAGTCTGAGGTCTTCGCTACACATGGTCTCAGAGTCGACTCCTTCCTTCTCACCCTCCATGTGTACTGGTTCCTTGTTCCCCTCCTCGTCTTCTAACAGAACATTAGGAGCAGAAAACGTTTGGCGTTAACGCTCAGACTACTGTAAATGTTTTTTTGAAATGTTCACTGCAAATGTAATGACCAATGGAAAAGCAGACAGCAACCAAGGCTTGTATTATCTCCACTTTGTGTCGTTGGGAAAGATAACAGCAATGTAATGAGCTTTGTCAAGTGAGAGCATCAGGAAGCTTCTTGCACATAAACAAAACAGCAATAGGCTAGCTACAGGCAAGAGGGACGCGAAGCTAGCAACATCCACTAGGTGGTTACATTAAATGTCTAACTTTAACACCACCCAGTGACAACATACCCTGAAACTAAAAATCAAATGTCGAATGAAGAGCTCACGCTTTAATCTCGTTAATTAGACTGCCTGCTAATAATTCAGCCTTAGCACGTTAACAGCTTTAGCTTAGCTTTCGTTAGCAAGTCGCTAACTTTGACAGAAACATCAAAGAGTGATCTTACCACAGTACAAATGATGAAACATTTCGCAGAGAGACTAAAAGGCCGTTTCTTCTCTGCATGCCAGCTTCCCCTTCATCCTCTACATGCGGCCACAGACGGGCTGAAGTCAAACTGTTCTGCCCGCATATGAAATGCAAACACTGGACTTTGTGTCTTTGATGGTTTCCTGCCCTCTGTCGGTTCATCTGCTCGACAAAAACAAATGTAGCAGGTCTGTGGAGCACAGAGGGGGTTGCGTTCAGCCGCTCTCATGTTCACGCTTGATTTGGAAGATTACTTTCTTCTTTTTTTTTTTTTTTTTTTTACCTCCATCCTGACACAATAGCAAGAGATTTGTGTGTCTTCCGGGGCTCGAACCGGTAACCTTTTGTTTGCTATTATACAAATTGAGTAAACGCCAAAGTGTAGAGTTGTCACATATAAAGCCCTGAATCTTTGTATAGAGTTTGTGTTACAGTTTTTCCTATTGATAAAGCCCAGCCCCGTTGCCATTCTTACTAAAAGCAATTAATTAACAGATAAAAAATTAAATGACAGGTAAATTACACAGTAAAAAAAAAAAAAAAAAAAAAAAAAAAAGAGACATTTTTTGTGAATTAACAAAACCTGTATATTATTGTTGGCTTCATCGGGTGAGGGCCTCCAGCTCGCACTGGAGCGGTTCGCAGCCGAGTGTAACGCAGCGGGAATGAGGATCAGCACCTCCAAATCTGAGGCCATGGTTCTCAGCCGGAAAAGGGTGGAGTGCCCACTCCGGGTCGGGGATGAGTTCCTGCCCCAAGTGGAGGAGTTCAAGTATCTCGGGGTCTTGTTCGCGAGTGATGGGAGAAGGGAGCTGGAGATCGACAGACGGATTGGGGCTGCGGCTGCAGTAATGCGGACGCTGCACCGGTCCGTCGTGGTGAAGAGGGAGCTGAGTGTAAAAGCGAAGCTCTCAATTTACCGGTCGATCTACGTCCCTACCCTCACCTATGGCCACGAGCTGTGGGTAGTGACCGAAAGAACGAGATCGCGGATACAAGCGGCGGAAATGAGCTTCCTCCGAAGGGTGGCTGGCCTCTCCCTTAGAGATAGGGTGAGAAGTTCGGCCATCCGGGAGGGGCTTAGAGTAGAGCAGCTGCTGCTCCACATCGAAAGGAGCCAGCTGAGGTGGTTCGGGCATCTGGCAAGGATGCCCCCTGGGCGCCTCCTGGGCGAGGTGTTCCAGGCATGTCCCACCGGGAGGAGGCCCCGGGGCAGACCCAGGACACGCTGGAGAGATTATATCTCTCGGCTGGCCTGGGAACGCCTTGGTATTCCCCCGGACAAGCTGGAGGAGGTGGCTGGGGAGAGGGAGGTCTGGACCTCTTTGCTTAGGCTGCTACCCCCGCGACCCGACCTCGGATAAGCGGATGAAGATGGATGGATGGATGTATATTAAGTACAGTGACAGTCTGTATAATGAACTACCGGAGCTTTTTCTGTAATTTTATTTTTATTATTTATTTTGTACTTTCACTGGTCCAGCCGTTTAAGGTCAAAGAGGGCTGTGCGTGGCCCACAATGTAAAATGAGATTGACATCCCTACAGTATGAAGCCACATGAAGTACAAATATATTATATATATATAATTTTCTTCCTTATGTATCAGAGTCACTTTATTTCATTACACGTGTTAACAAAATGGCTTGTTCATTCTGCAGCAATGATATTTTTCTCTGAATATACATATAGTTTTCATAACAGTCATTATTACTATATGAAAATTACATCAGTCTCAATTGTGTAGCTCTGAATCCACAAAACGTGTCAATTTAAAAAGGGGAAAAATATGGGGAAAAAGGTTAAAGACGAGGGACTGCTAGATGAATGGTCACATGTTGTATTTCAGGTTGACAGGATAAAAATAATGTGAAGGCTCATTAAGGCAGAAAAAACTATATGGTCAATTAAAAAAAAAATCTCAAATGAGTCCCTCAGATGGAAATAAAATAGCAGACATAAAAATGAACCCATGGTAATCTTTATCATTACGCCATCCTTCAGGCAAACGCAACATAATGATGTGTCCTTATTAATTCTGAGCAGCAGTGGGAATGTAAATCTGCCTATTCACAAACATCCTTTGAGAAATTCAACAGCTCTTAGAAATAATGAAAGATAATATTCAATCAGCGGTCGAGCCCAACCCAACCATAAACACGCCACATTTTCAAAAGGTCAAATTTGGCAATTGCACCTACTTGAAGCGTATGGGATTTTAGATACATTAAACCGAGACCAGACACAGTACAGCGGGGGCTTCGCAAAGTTTTGAAGAAAAACGATTAGACTAAAATTAATTAATATCCCAAAGTTCAGTTACATAAGCTTCAAGTTATCAAAAATGAGTTTGCCTTAACTTCATCTCCAGAGAGTTATTTCTCTTGTTATTTTTTCCTTCCCCCCCAAATTCTAAAGAACTGCTGACTTACAGCAGCTCAGGCTTTTCTCAGATCTGGACGAACCCCCTCCTCCACTTTACATTTTTGTGTCACATTGAGGTTTTCTCTCTCTCTCGAGCACCTGGCTTTTGTACAAGTGACGGCAGCTTTTTGTTTTTCTTCACTGTCACCAGAGTCTACAAGTCAAGCCACCCCTTGTGGACTGCGAGTGTACGCGCCTTCTCATCTCCTCCTCCTCCTCCCTCTCCTCTGCTCTTCGCGCTCGATGAGGTGTAGCGCTATAGCTCGTTGCGAGAGCGGGATATGCGAGGGCCTTTCCTGATCTCTTTCCTCTTCTCCTCCTTCCTCCTCCTCTTCTCCTCCTCCCTCAGGATCTTCTGGAAAGCCTCGGCTGTGTGAAGCACCTGCGGCAGATAAGAAAGGGTGCGGGGAGATCAAAGTCGCGATGTGAGAGAGGCTGTGTTTTCTTAGAGAATTTCTACGAAAAACAAAGCAAAGATCTGCATGTGTTTCTACTCCTGCTGGTTGCAAAGGTGTACCCAGAGAGTCTCCGGGGTATTAAGAAAGCTGTTACCAGGTATCAGGCTAGAATAATAATGGATGATGGCAAAGTGTAGAACAGCATGTACGCAGCGTACTCACATCATCTCTCTCTGTGCGGTACGGGTTTATAAAGTCTGGGGATTTCTCTGTTATTCCCAGTTCCTGTGACATCTGCAAGGTGAGCAGAATAGGAAAGATGGCAGAGGAAAGAAAAGAGGGGGAGATGATACATAATGCTTGCTTCAAAAAGAGCTAAGAAACGTCACATCACTTATGCTACAGCTAAGAAGCGCTCTGATGCAATTTAAACCACATTCCTTGTGAGTATTAGAGCTCATTCTTCATTATTTACCGCTCATGGAGGTGGATGAAATAGAGACGAGGGAGTCGGAAACCAAGCGTGGGGTTAAGCGAGGGTCGAACGCACACTTTTAGGACGCAAAACTGCTGCTGCTGCTGCTTCGAGCCTCAGAATTAATCCACTTCATAATCCTCTTGGCACATTGCTAAGGTCACAGATTAATCCTGCAGGAGTTTAGTTCATTAACCCGCACATTAAACAAGGAAACACCAGTTAGACGCCTTTGGTCTTTAAAGTTTAAAAGGCCAAATTTCAATTTCTACAGAAATATCTGACACGCTGGCTGACACTGATGACTGATAACTCCACACTTACATGACATGAGATTGCATCACTCTTCAAACCCACCAGGTTTCCAGAGAACTGTCACCCTTTTTTTTAAAGTCATTTTTTCCTGTTTGGTATAGCTAATGATGCACAGATGGCACTTCTGCTGAAAAGATAACCTCTTGTGGTTTATGAGAATGTGCCTTCTGTTTAACGTGTGGCTAAAACTGATCTAGAAGCCACTGAGCAGCCACTTTGAAATGCAGGTGGGCAGTTTGGGCAGTTATTGGTAAGCATTATCTAAATTCATTTAAATTTCAATAGCGAGTGGGAGATAAGAACTGTATTTATAGAACAAAACAAATCTGGGGGAAAAAAAACCCTCGATATTTGAGTATTGTTTTCCAAAATAAAAGGTTCTTTCCACCCTTCCATCCCTTGCCATTTACCCAGGCCCACCTCCCTCTCACCGGCCACTTCCTCCAGCTCTTCTGGGGTGACACCGAGGCGTTTCCAAGCAACTGGCTCCTTTTTAATGTGGAGGAGTAGTACCTCTATTCTGAGCCCCTCCTGAATGACCGCTCTCCTTATCCAGTCTGTAAGGGAGAGCCCTGACACCTTTTGAGAGAAAGTTCATTTCCACCCCTTCTATCTGCAGTCTCATTCTTTCAGTCGCCACACGGAGCTTGCGGGCACAGGTGAGCGCAGGAACGTAGGTGCTCCGATAAATCGACAGCTTCGCTTTTACGCTCATCTCTCATTTCACCACAGTGAAGCAGACTCAGAGTCTACATCACTGGTGATGCCAAACCGATCTGTCCGTCAAGCTCGCCTTTTGCTCCCACTCGTGAGCAAGACCCTGAGATATTGAACTCCTTCTTTTAGCCAGTGCAGCTTTTTCGCTTCTGGAGATATTAATCTACTACCATCGCACCATTATTGTTGCTTTTGCAAGAATCTATAGATTTCAGAATTCGCTGAGCCTTAAACACGCTGCCAGGGATAAGGCTGGATATTAGGAGCCGAAGAATCACTGTAAACCTCAACTATTCTTTTGCTCTGTGCCAGACACATTTACATCACTGTGCTACGGTTTGTAACGCACTGTTTTCTCGCTGTGTTTTGAATATTTCCATTATATCCTCCTGCAGAGAGATGTTTTCTTTTCTAATCCAAGGCGTGAGCTGAAGCGGCGGTATGCAATCACTGCAAGATCAATCACGCTGAATCTCATGAAACTTAGTGGAGCACTGGCAAAGGAAGAATTAGGTAGTTAGATTTTGATCTGAATCATTTTCTTTCAGCTTTTGCAACAACTCTCAGTCTTCAGCGAGACGTCGACAAATCTCTTCTAAATCCACACGATCGAAATGAGAAAAAGTGAAACCAGAAACATTTTTTTTGACACCCTTAATAAAAAGGCTGCGGCAGGTCTTACAAGTGTGAGGACGTGCTGGTGGGCTCCTCCTGTGAAAACCCCCGTCTGGTTACAGAAGTTCAGCCCCCAGCGCAGCAGGCTGCTCCAGTCGGTGTTCCGGTCGTAGTAGTGGTGGACGATACGGGGGAAACGCAACGCCACGTCGCCAAAGAACGCTGTATTCTCCACTACGTGGGAATAAGCTGCAGGACAGAAACAGAATATGAATATGCACATGTATATAGCGCACGGTGAAAATGATGCTTAACAGAACAAAGGGAGGAAAACAGCTCAAGGTTTTACTGGGGGAGCACACTCAGACCGCACTGAAGGGGATAAAGATGGGATGATGAACACCAGGCAGAAGTGGGGGTTTTTTTGAGATGGGTAACAGAGCGTAAGACAACCCAGGCAGAGGTGTTGGAGACAGAATCAGTGTGTGAAAAACACTCGAGAGCAAGAGAGAAGGCAACAGCTGAGATTTAAAAGCGAATCAGACCTTCTTTGATCTTATCGTCCATGGGGAAGGGGTCATCGGGCTGCATGTTGGCCGCAACCAAGACCTGTCGGGAGTCCTCCAACACCTTAAGAGAGAAAGAGAGCTCAATCTCCAGGGTTATGTACTCCCATCTACGTGCTACGATTGTTATTCTTATGACATTTTACACACCACCTCCCACAGACGTTACAGTCAACGCGTGATCTGTGTGGACACTGCACAGAATAGATACGCTGGCTCACACACACGCAGACGTATAGAAGTGCTGACAATGTTTTGCAGCCCCCGAAGGTCGACTCTGCTCGTTCTCCTTGAGAGTGATGCAGATACATGCATAGCTGCCCGCTGGGAAATGGAGGCCTACAGTAAAATCACAGCTCCCAGTCTGGTGCAAGTGAATGGCACCTGTAAGCAGCATGAATTCAGATTCAAATGAAAAGCGAGCTCACGCGCTGCTGAATGCGGTGGATTTTAGAGCTTTTGATTCTCTATTGAGCTACAAACGTTCTTATCCTTCAATTTGCTGGAAACACCAGGCAGGTCGAGCTTCAGAGCGCCTGCTCTCTGATGCTAGTGGCCTTGTCTGTGCTTGACTTGCTGCTTCCCAGGCACTATATGATGTCTTACACACACACATACACACTGTACCTTGAAGAGCCCTTTGAGCATGATGTCTATGATCTTGTACTGCTGGTTGATGTCGTTCAGCTCTACTAGATTCTTGAGTGCATTCAGCTGATCTTTCCTCTTGGTCTCAAACAGCCGCTTGTCTGACAGGAGGAGGTCAGGAGGACAAACGCTCTCTACATCAAGAGAGACACACCCGTGAAGATGCTTAAGTTCAACACTTAGTGACTTGCACACACACACACAGACATCAGCGGACAGCATTTGGCGGCAGCTCTGCACGCCGTCAGCAGAAGGATACAGATCTCCAGGTTGGAGTCGTGTCTCGGTCGGTGCGTGTCGGAGTCTGCCGAGCTGAGTGCGGCAGCGGCGAGCGCCAGGACCACTGCACCCACACTCCGCATGGTCAGCAGGGGGTGGCAGAGAGGCACTCTTCTGAAAACAGGGATGATGAGCCATCAGACATTGTTCCACAGCAGAATATTGTCACACAGTCGCCTGATTAGATCCTTTCAGCTTGCCTGACTCGCTACGCTTTCACATGGAGCCAGCAAACACAGCTTTCTTCTCCATTCATTCATTTTTCTCCTTCCAGAGCTACTAGATGGGCTCGTGCTCTCTCGTGTGATACTTGTGGAATATGTGAAATACGGAGACATGTTGGGGATAAGTGGTCAATATAGAACACCAGAGGGTAGCCGGCATTTGAAGAGGGCCTCCGTATGTTCCTTTTAAGACACATCTGATGTCTGGCACTTGCATAATCCCCAGAGGAACTTTTACAGTCTCTGTAGCAGGTGCCCGGTCTGCTCTTGCCCGTCCTCTGCCCTCTCTATTCAAAAGCGGCGGTCTTCTATATCATTCTGATCCTGTCGCAACTGTCCCCGTCCTCCAAGGCTTTTTTCTTTTTTTGGTACGTTTCAAAGGGAGGCATGAAAGTGAGAAGATAAATACAACAGCTAAATATAGGACCTCATCAAAGGAGGATTCGATGCGAGCCAAAAAATAAAGTTTTTTTTTTTTTTAAAGAAAACATTAGCAGAAAACAAAAGTAACTGGAGGCAGGGAGAGGACATGTAGATGAAAAGCTACAAGATATAATTCATCTAATCCATGCATAATTTAGCAGGGGCTCCATCAATGATACTATCAGAGGGATTCAGTGGGGTACAGATAGGATGGAGGGAGAGTAATATTAGGAGAAGCAGCGGGGGGGAAGAGGAGGAGAGGAGGGAGGGGCGTTGGAGCGTTTGGAAGAAGGGGGTGGGGTAGAGGAGTTGGAGACCCTGAGGGAAACAACAGCTTTCCTGGTGAATATTTCATCTACCTTTTGCTAAGGCACAGCGGTGAAACCCAAAGACACACAGATGGGAGAACTAGTGCAAGATAGAGGAGGCGGCTGTGGAATGACAGATAATGAGCACGGGATACTCGATTTCTGCGCTGACTGGATTAATCTTTACAAACCCGGGGTGCCTGTTCTCAAATCTCAAGGAACGGGAAAGGGAGCAAATGTTTCAGGGCGTGAATATTAATTTAGACTAAAGTGAGCACCCTTAAGAGAACTTGCTCCAATCAGAACAGGGAAAGAAAGAAACCCCATCTGCTTCTCAACGTTGCCTGTACATCTACGGCACGCTGATAACGCAGACAAACAATGAGCATTTCATACTGACTCATTCTACTGTTTAACGGCAGCGTCGGTGTATTATTTCCGGAAAAATGAAAGCAGATTTTTTTCCCCCTATTTCATTTTGGCTTTCCCTGCCAGTCTCTGGGGTCATTTATTTTAAAAATAAAACTCAAAAACAACTTTGTTCATACGGCGTCAGCAGAAACCGGCGTTCCTGCAGACAGCTGAGTGAAGACAATGTTCGATTAAGGCCAATTTGTGCATTCTGAGAACATCTTTTGGGTAGCTTCCCAGCTTTCTGAGAAATGCTGCACTAAATATCCTTAAGTGCTGGTCGAAAGCCTCAATATTTCTCGATAACAGCCAGAGACGGGTGGGGGTTCTCTTTCTGGTAGTAGCAGCAGCTTGTCGGGTTATTTGATGTTCCTGTGTGCCTCCTAGCAGGCAGCCATGTAGCTCTGACAGATATTTATGAGGGAAAAGGTCATCACCGTCAATACGCATAACCGGGAGCTGCTGATGTTTCCGCACAGAGGGGCAAAGTGCTGAGGCCGTAAGAAGTGATGTAGGAAGGGCATTAAGGCAGGATCAATCATTTCTAATGTGGCACGGGCAGTGCAGAAGTGCATCCATTAACTGTAAACAGGCAACCCTGATTACACAGGATGGGCACGTCACTAATTCCAGGGCACTTGGCTCGGTCCTGAGTGGAACTGAAAGGAGTGTGAAGCACAAAACTATGCAAAAATCATCATCTGCTGACATTAATGTTAACTTTAAGCTCCCCTTAAAAATGATGCTGCTCTGTGAGAGAGAACTTACACAACAGTCATTACCTGCATCCCTGCACCCCCAGCCTGTCTTACTACAGGAGTAAAACCAGCTGAGGGAGGGAGTTCACCTGGCCATCGCCATCATGTGCTGCTCAAAAGGGATCGTCAGATCCCTGCAGGGGTTCTCATCGGTCTTTAACCAACCCTTTTCTTTTTTTGGTGCACATATAAACAAAATTGATCTCAAAGCAGTGCATGCACTAGAACACTGTTAGGACAACCCAGCTGATCTGCAAAACGCTTTCTTTCATATTCTCCCCTGCTGAGTCCTGGAATGAAGAAACTTCAGGGGAGATGTTCAGCATCCAAGGTGGGAGGCTCGGTTCCGAAGCCGTCTGTCCCTCCGGCACTCGAGCTGGTGAGATGTGTCGGGGAGGTCTGGAGGCAGAGGCAGAGTGGTTCTTGCTGAAGTCGTGTGAGCCCACGTAAATCTCTTGGCTTGGAGCTGCTAGCAACAACCTCTTTGGGGCAAAGAGGCTGAAGTTTGATTTCCTGTGTGGGAGATCCAGGTTCCAGCTTTGTCAGTAAAGTAGGTTACATTATCTAATCACACGTGAAGAAGAACCGCTCTGACTGTATTGTTGAAAACATGTATCCAATTTTCACCAGTGTGATGAAAGATGATAATCTTCAATCAAGGAGGAGAAAGAAGTCCGACCCGCAAACAAGCCTGCTCTGCAGCATTCATTTCAAGAGCCACAGCTGACCCTTGAGGTGAACAGCGCTCCAGAGAGGATGGGAAAAAAGCAAGATGCCTTTCAGACAGCTGGATGTGCAGCAGGAGTGGAGCCCGGTTCCCCTCAGGCTGCCAGCCTGCTGTGGGAGGCTTGAGGTTCAAGGACTGACACATCATCTCTCTCTCTCTCTCTCTCTCTCTGCTTCCATCCTAGAGGCTCTCCTTCTGTCATCATTCATACAGAGGGACGGACATGCGTAATGGTGATGGTGGATAAAGACTGTCACATGCACCATCAGCTACAGATTGTTTAATTGATTGCATGTCCCCTACCTGACCTGGCTTCCCACAGCTGCACGGCTGTCTGTACCCAACTACTGAGCAACTATTTATATTCTAAACGGAGAATTACACGCTTTTTGTATCTTGGATGCACGGCTACATACAGTGGTATTATACACCAACATCTCAATGATATACAACTATTTATAGAAGACTTCCCAACTAGGGGCTCACTTTTGTAAATTAAGTATTTAAAGTCGACAAATCGATGCCTCCTGTCATCGCAGCTGTACGCTCCGGCGGATCCGCCAGCCAGCCAGCGGCCAGCACAGCAGATCCCCCGGCAGATAGAGCTCTGCTGGACACTACAGCCACCAAACTCGAGGTCCACTCACCGTATTGTAGCGAGAAACGACAGCGCCACAAGGCAGCGATTAGCGAGCGGCGTTTGCTCCAAAGTAAAGAGTGCAGTTGAACCTTCTTTATCTCCGCTCCGAGCGTGAACAAAGACAGAAAAAGAGCTCGGCTCGCCGATGAGGTAGACGGGACAGTGAGTTTGTTCTCCTCTGGATCCTCAGGTGACAACAACGGAGGTGGAGGCGTTCATTTACATGCGGCTCTCGCTGCTCCACTCTGCCAGTGCCACGATCGCACCGGCTGGCTCGTCTTGGACGAATGACAGCGAGCGGGCGCTAAACACGGAGGAGGAGGAGTGCGGTTTCCACACGGAGGAGTTAGAGGGAGACACCGCCAGAGCGTGGGGATAAGGGGCTGCGTTCGGTTTATGCTCAGTTTCCCCGGGGATTATGATGCTGTCCAGCCACTCCCGAGGTATTTTATAAAGATGGCAGCAGGGCGGAGTAAGCGAGCATGTTAGGTAGTTTATTTGCAGCTAGGGTTGGCTATGCTAATGAAAACTTGCCTTTCTGGAAGCTGGCTGTGACAGCAATTTAAAAGTCAACTGGACGTGAAAAGGGACTGTGCGATCATATAAGAACCCCACCATTGCCACTTAATGAGCTGCCAGTGAGAAGTAAAGAAACACACTGGAGCTACCCGATGGTACAATGAACGATTGATTTTCTTGCAGTAGCCTAAAGCCTGAGAGCCCATCAGTGGCCATACAGTTCAAAAATAGACCACAGGAGACGTTTTACCCTGCAATTATATCCCACATGGCTCTCAAGCACTTCGCCGACAGCTGCTCTCTGGCAGCTTGTCCACCTCACAACCACTGCCACACACAGTGGTCTACAGGGAGTCGTACTCCCATCACCTGACACTTTGAGAAGGTGTGGATGGGGTAGAGAAATTCACATTAATGTGGTTAAATCCTGGCAGAAGAAACTCTAGGTGGGAAAGCGAGAGAGTTAATTCCCCGAGCAGAGCTGCTCACCTGCAGCTTAGACAGTGTTTTTTTTATTAGCAGTGTCCTGGTCTAAAAAGATTCACTCTCTGCCTGTAATAAGCTGTTTTAACATTTCTCCTTTAACGCCTTCTAATTGGCTGCCCCCGGCAAACAGACGGTCTAGATAAATGCTAAATGGACTTGTTCTTATATAATGCTTTGCGACTCTACTCTAGCACTCAAAGGGCTTGATACAACATGCTTCATTCAGCCATTCACCCCCTTTCATACATGTACTTTTGTCTACACCCGGTGCTTTCTACCTAACATTCACACATTCATATCCGATGAACGCATCAGAGAGCGACATGGGGTTCAATATGTTGCCCAAGGACACTTAGGAATGCAGACTAGAGACTAGAGCACCCTCTGATAGAACCATCAACCTTTCCATTATTAGATGACCAGCTCTACCAGGCTTCTGTGTTCACAGTCAGAGCTCTGTGCCTGAGATGACCATATTAGGCATATCCTGAGTACTTTTTTAACCGTGAGCACCTGGTTCAAAGGGGTTAATGTATATATGCTTAATATATTTTAAACTTTGGGCATGCTTTATAACAACAATAACTACTATTGTAACATTGCATATATGATGGAAATATGTTAAAGTACAAAAATCATTTTCTTAAGAGGAAAGGTTGATTAGCTTGTCAGTGCTACCACATCAGACAAAAAAGCAGCAACGTTGACCTGTAACAAAAACAAGTGATTTATTGATGCACTTATAATTCAAGATGTTTGTTTTCTTTAACACTGCTGCAAATATGAACTAGCTTCTATGAACAAATGCATGCAGTCAGTCAGATTGCTAGAACGCTGTGAAACTACAGGTTGTATTGTTTTAGGAGCACAACAGAAACAGTCAAACAAACGGATGCAACAAATGAGCAAGGTGAAGAACTTTCAAAATCGATGTCCTGTCTAAAGCACAAAGTCAGACAGGCAGAGGGGCACGTCTCCAACATGTCTGAAGATAAGCGTCAAGGAGCAATGAGCAAAGTGAGAGGGGGCAGTGGGCGTGAAGATGAAAGATAGAACATTTAAATTAAGAAACAAATTGAAACTGCTACCAGCTTTACTGAGCCTGAATGCACTGTGTTTTTAATGAACTACTATTTCCACGTATATGTTGTGTATTTGTTTATTATTAATATTAGCAGAAAAATGTAAGTAGAGTAGAGGGAGTCAGCCAGCATGACAGATGACATGCTGACTATGAATGTACAGTAGAGCGTGTGTTGTTCAACACAGGCATCTATTAAACTGCCAGTGAAAAATCAATGAAGATGCTGATGTTAAAGTACGAGTTTCCTAATGTGCTTTACTGTGTGGGTTACTGCTTTCTGCAGCACTTCCTGCTTACAGAGGCATGTTCAGAGGCTGTTTGTGTTAGCAAAGTTCAACGGTGTGCATGTGTTTCACTTCACGTGAAGGATACAGGACATCGTGGGACTGACTGTGTCTGCAGCTCTCATCGGGCTCTCCGAGTTCCTCTATCATGTTCTTCACTTTCTGCTTGTGTTCCTCTCTGGGTAGAAGGTCTCTGCTCTGGATCTGAATGAACAAAAGAGGAAAAACAAAAAGCTTCCTAGGGTTAGAAGGACCTAACACAAGAACCTTAAGATCTTGAATTTTGAAATCCATGAATCCATCCATTAATTTCTATCATTTAACACTGAGTCATTCCCAAGCCAGCTGAGACCCAGGATTCTTTCCAGCGAGTCCCAGGCCTCCTCCTGGTAGGACATGTTTCGCAATATCTTGCCTCAGAGGTGCTCAGGAGGCATCCTAGTCAGATATCCAACCCACATCAACTAGCTCCTTTTGATGCGGAAGAGCAGGAGTTCTACTCCGAGTCCCACTTGAATTACCAAGCTCCTCACCCTATTTTTAAGGGACAGCTCAGCCAACCTTCAAGGGAAAATCATTGGTTATGGATAGATATTCTGTCCATAAAAACTATGAATGGAGAAGTCCAGGACCAAATGGAAATGAGTCCCACTTATTGCCAGAAATATGAACCAAGCTATCTCTGCAGGTGTACAGGGACCGAATGCCCTGTAACAACAGGCCAAACACCCCATGCTCCCAAAGCACTCCCCACAGGATACCCCAAGGGATGCACAGAAAACCCGAAAACTTCTGAAAACAACATAATATAGATTTTACAGGCATTCCATTATAATTATTTCCTTTTTAAAATTATTATTAGTGGATTCCACTAAAATTGCTTTGGATGAAAGTTTTTAGAATTTTTGCCTCACAGGGATTACTTGCACATAAACAGGAACTCATTATTTGAAACTTTGCCCATGTTACACCTCCAGCATTGTAAAAATATATAAATATGTATGACAGATGATAATGAAAAGCATATTAAGTTTGAAAATTTGTATTTCAGCTGTCATAAGCATATGCACAAGCAGAAAATGTGCATAAAGCAGCAAACAGGACTTCAGTGAAGATGCAGATGTGTACTGTAGGCAACAGGGAACAGTGAAAGTTTGCCACAAACAGCAACAAGAACAGAAATCTGGGAGAAAAATATTCACAATCAACAGAAAACTTTCCAAACATTCAAAGTTTGCAGAGTTTTCCCTGCAGTTATGAGCAACCCCAACACAGAAACAGACTCACGCTGCAAGATTTACTATTCGTCGTTGTTCATGCGGATACAGCCAGAACCTGGCCTGAGCTATAACTGATCAGCTCTCTGCTGAAGCCAAGGTTCAGAGACTTCTCTAAAGATCATTTCAAAGTATGTAAGGGAACCCCGACACGTATGTGAGTGGGGTTTTTTAAAGTCAAAGTCAAATCAGTTTTATTTGGCAGCAGCTGCTGCCAGTGGTGTGTTCAGGATGAGATGGAAGGCAGCTTAAAACAAGGGCTGAAAACTGATAAAAGCAACAGGTGAGGCAGAGGTGGAGCTAATAGGATCAATACAATTGGGAGCATTAAAAAAGGAAAGGAGGAAACAAATAAATTCACTGGGGAATGGAAAAAGCTAACAAGTAAATACTATGCCTGTATGTATTCTTGCTCACTCCTAACACTCTTCAAACATGTCCACAACCAAGGTAAAGTTCAGATTTCTTAATGACCACTTTAAATTAAACTTGAAACCCAACTTGGGATGGAAATGAACCGATTCCCACCCAACCCAAGGGTTTTTGTAATTTTGTGCTAACAACTACTTAATGTATTCTATCAGGCGATTGTTTCCATTAACTGTTTTTACAAAAAGGAAAACAACCTCAAAGAGTTTGGTGCACTATGAAGCACAACCTGAATGATGCAGCACCTTTGCAAGAACTAAAGCATTTGTGTGCTTCAAAGACTTGCACTGAAACATTTAAGACCTATGCAAACCGAAAATAGGACAACTTTATTCTGTGCATAAGTTTTGAGAAACTCCTCATTTCTCTTTTATTTTGGTACAAAAATGGGAAATGGATGCAGTGATTCATTGAAACACGTGAAAACATTTATGTAAATACAGTATATAAGGTAAAAACAGAGTCTGTACGAGTCTAATGAGCTTGAAAGTCAATATTTGGTACGACCTTCATTCTTTAACACAGTCTGATCTCTCTTAGGCAGCTTTCTTGTCATTTCTTTAAGTAGTCTTCATTAATAGGCTTCTTGAAGGATATTCAAAGCTCTTCTTTGGATGTTTCTGCCTTTTTGTTTTGTTCTCTGCTTAATAATGCTGAGGTCCAGACTCTGGGGAGGCCAATCCATGACTGATAGAGTTCCACTGTGTGTTCTTCTATCCAGGTTTGCTTTTATTGCATTAGCAGTGTGTTTGTGATCTTTGTTATGATGCAAAATTAAGCCGTTGGCAGTCAGATGGCATTGCAAGGTGGATCAAAATTTAATGGTGTTTTTTCTGCGTTTATAATTCCATCAATTTTGACAAGATCTCCAACACCACTGGCCAAAATACTACCCCAAACCATGACAGAGCCTCCACTGTACTTAACAGGTGGTTGTAGACACTCACTTTATAGGATTGATGCTCAGTCCAATTTCTTCAGCCTTTTCTTTCTGTTTCTCTTCATTAAGAATGGCTGACAGCCACCCTTCCACTGAGACTATGTCTGATAAGGCTTCAGTGAACTGCAGATGAATCAACTGAAGGTACAGATGCATCTCTGCAGTCCTGTGCCAGGGTCTTTGCTGGATTTTATTCCTCTTGTTTCTTAAAAACACGACTTTCAGACACTGCTCATCTGCTGTAAATTGTTTTTTAAATCTGAAACTTGTTCTTTTGTCCTCCACTTTCACAACTTTTTCAAGGACTTACTGCAAACATTGTGGAGATAAGTTTTCAGCTAATGCCTCTTCGGGAATCATCATGAAAAAAATACTATTTTATTCCTGTCAAACTGTCTTATCTTTGGCATTTTTCATAGATTCAACTAAACAAGTGGAACAAGTTATCTGTTTTTGCAACAGGCTGCTACTAACAAATGGCCTAAAGATACAATTTAAATAGATTCTTTGCAAAGTTGTCTTTTATGTGCAGACACAACACTGGTTCATCCCTTGAGTTTGGTGCTTGAATGATTCATAGATCAGAGTGTTAGGATATAAAAAAACCCAATTAAAACAGTTCTCTGAAAATGGTCAAGTACAAGGACTGGACTGAAAGTGAGTGAAAAAGTAACCAATGTCCAAAGAAAAACTCGAAAGACCTTCAGAAAGCCTGGAGACTATTGCTCTAGAGCACTTTGAAACATTAGAGAAAGCGAAATACAAAGAAATCAGGTGGCTCAAGATTTCGGTGCACTCCTTTATTTTGAAGACCTATTCATTAGAAATCTGTATTTAGGACTACTTGGGAACCAGGTAGACTGAAAAATGTTGACTGGAAACAACAAACCAGGGAATGGAAGCTTGCAAACAGAAAAGGTGATATCTGCTGACTGTATGTGCATGCAGGCACACCGGTGCTCGTTATGTCAGCTTTCATGGGGAGGAAACAAGAAGCAAAACCAGTGATCTGAGAATAGATCATTTATAAATATGCACTTCCTTGTGAACTGAAACTTCACTTTAGTCCAAAAGCTAGATGAACAAAACCTCTGAAAACTGTGAAGCTCATCTGTGAAAATGTATGTGAGAGAAGAGCAGCAGAGATGCCAGGGGACAAAAATCACACTGTTTGTGAGACCGTTAAGAGAAATGCGTCACATTGAACCCTGCCTACCCTAACCTGTGTCACTGACTTAGAAAAACACACATATAGATATACAGACACACTCACACACAACCACACACTCATACACACCTACACAAGCCACAGACGCATGTATTCACACACTTCACGATTGCCTGGAACACAGTGCACTGGGAGCTGCAGTGTATGCCATCATTCTGTCACTCCTCCGACTCTGAGCCACTTTCAGAACACCAAAAGCATTTCTGGTCCTGCACACGATGCCATATTAGAGCTATGCAATCTGATGTGGCCCCTAATCTTGAGGCGAACCCAACTGAGATTTATGCATTTGCAGCAAAGCTAACTAGGGTAACAGGAATATTCACCTCACGCGGACCGCACCCCCCCTCCCCCCCACCCGTGCAGAGAATACACCATCTTGAGACCAGTTCAGACATAATAAGAGTGATTTGGCAAATGATACTAACGATACAAAGAGCTTGTGCCAGTGATCACAGTTGAGGAGAGAGAAAGCACAGTTGTTTCCATCAACTTCTTTTTTAAACTCAGTTCACCTCTGTGATCTGTGGGGAAAATAAACTGAGTAATTTCAGCTATTCCGCTAACATCTGTTTGGCTGGCAAAAAAAATTATGCTGCAATCTGCAACACAACAATATGATGGGTAGAAAAGCTCTGCAAATAAACCACAAATATTTCTGTGCCTGTCAAATTAACATAACTCCACCAGCTCGCTCTTTTTTAAATGTCACATGTCTGTCTGATCCGGTCCAAATTTAGTCCATCTTTCCTGGAATAAACAGAGTACAGCCATGAAACCCAGTGTTTTAAAACACTCTTGCTATACGGCCCAACAGCTTTGATATTTGGTTAAAATGTAACAGGCTGTCACAAACACTTGAAATCATCCACGTTTTCAATCACGTTCTACACTGGATTAAGCGTCTATTTCATTTATGAATATCTAAGGTTTGATTCTGTCACACTGTTTGTGCTGCATGGCGACCTTCTTCCTGCAAGCCTGTGGCCAAAGAAAGCATGACTCAAAGCAAGAAGGATCTCCGTTAAAAGCTGCTGGTCGTCTGAGGAGATTGTGAAGGTGTTGATATGAGTGTAAATGGTTGTTTCTCTATGTGTCAGAGGCCATGCACTGGTCCAGTACCCACTGAGATGCTCCTGACCCTATCTGTGATAGAAAAAGGGAACTGAAGAGATGACCTTTTACTTCTCAAGCTGATTAAGACATTTTTATCTAAAGGTCTTTTCAGCAACTTGAAAAGATGACTTTTAACCTCTCACTTTTCAGACAGATCTACCAATCATCCAAGTCAACCAGTCATTTTTTCAATAAGTCTTTTGCCATGTTGGGAAGTTTGATTGGTCTGCTGTGCTCTGGGATGGAGAGGAGAGGCCCAGACTGACACGAACTGCAATCATATTGTTAGCTCACAGTTCAGTAATCAGTTTTACACACACAACAGTTACTTAAAAATATAAACCTAAGTTTTAATTAGCCACTGAAGATGCATTTATGCTTTATAGCATTTATGGTTGGGTTTGGCTGTGAAAAGACGAGTGGAGCAGGATGCTCAGCGTTTGTCTTTGCAGCAGGAGACTCTGCAAAGTCATCTTTAAAATAACGACCAGGAGGGAAAAAAAGAAATGTCTACTTAGAGGCAAACTGATTTTATTGTAATTTAATGCTTCGCAGTGATAAGATTTAATACTTGGAGATAAAGAGATGGCAAGTTAATTCTTTAGAGTTTGGCTTTCAGGAGGTAGTGAGACAGTAATCATTTGAAATCGCACCCTGGCTTGTCAGCTCAAACTGCACTTAAACATTTACACACTGACAGCCTAAATGTTTGCTTAGGTGGTTACCCGGGTTGCAAACTTCATAACAACATAAACTACACATCGGGAGAAAAATTCAGCAACACACGCTTGCTTACCACAGAACGACTGAGTGATGAAAAGCGTGCAAAGGCAAAATCAACATCACAATGCGTGATGAATATTATAATTATTTGAATAATTCAGTAGGCTTGTTTGTTACTTTTCTTCAATCTTTTTCTTGCTGGGAGTCGTGATTAGTCGCTTTTGCATTTCTAATGAAAAACTGATTTTCACCTTGACTTGAGGTGGAATGTATTGTGATTCATGCTCGTGTGGGGCGGGCTCGACTTATTATTTGCCATTTGCTGCTTTTATGTATTGTACATGTTCTAATCTAAGTCAAACACAAACATTGGTCATGATCCAGATTTATACTCGATTACTTTTTGAGATGTTGAAATACGTGAAATAACTGTTTCAACTGCACAAACCTACCTGGTCTTCCACAAACACATTTCCCCTCAGTACAGTCTGCTTGTTTTGATTTTCACAACATATAAATACAAACTGATTCCAGCTAAAACTGAACTTTGTATGATTCCTTTTCTAATTAATTCATTTGAGGAATGGACAGATCCACAGGTAACTGAAGGCCTGTTGTTGTGTGATTATCTCCTATTTTATCTGTGTGAGCATACGTGTGTGTGTGCAAAGGTTTACCTGTGTCAGCAGCAGCCTCAGGGCCTGTTCTGCTTCCTTGCTGAGCTCCTTCACCCCCCTCCTCTCCACTCCCTCCATCACCTGGAGCAGGTCAGGCTCCCGCAGCACTGGTGTCCCGCTGTCCTGCAGCAGCTGCGGAGAACACAAACACAGATGCAGAAACACATGTACACGTACGCATGCACGATCCTGCACAGATGTACATTACTGTGCAGTAAAAAAAACAAACGCTGCTCTAAAACCATTAACTTGATTATCATATTAAACCTCGGGGACATCAGTGTCAACAAGTGCACTGGAGAGGCAGCAAAAAGACAACCTCCAATAGGTGGTGGTGGCCACAGGCTGCTCCTGTCTTTGTCCCTCCTGACTGATTTTTATTTTGTTCCGCTTTTGTTAAAATTAAGAGTCTTTCATAAATAATGGCATGAATATTTTTTTTAATTATCATTCAAACACACCAAATAAGTATTTGCATTAACTTTGCATTGAAAATAAGTTCTCCTCAGTACACATGACTGATTGGTTGGCTCATAGTTTGGGACTTTTTCGGTTGCTTCTACCTTTCCATGTAATCCAATGATGTCTGGAAAAATGTGAGCAACACTGTTTCTTTTCCTTCTTAACAACCACTGTATGTTTAGGTTTGTGGACAGTGAATTTCAGACCAAGTGAAAAACAAGCTAAATATTTAAAGTGTTTAAACTCGTGTCACAGTGCTGCCTAACTCCATTAAATCTGCTTCCATTTTGTTTATTTGTGTTGGAAGGACAAAGTCACACGCTGTCCCAGATTTTTCACAAAATGCTTTAAGTCAGACATTTTTAATGCAGCGGGAGGCTCACAGGGCTCCAGCTGACCAGTAGTTCCAAGTAATCCCACAGTTCCAACCCCGAGCTGAATGAATAATAAATAAAGTGAGCTTACAGACATGGTAATGACTTTTCTTTTATTTTGATTCGCTGTATTGTGTCAGGATGGACTGCACTGTATTCACTTGGATGTGATCTAAATGCTTCTTTGAATACTTCTGCTATCAAATATTTATTACTTGGATTTGTATTTGTGTGTGTGTTTTAGAGATGGACCGATCCGATATTACGTATCGGTATCGGTCCGATACTGACCTAAATTACTGGATCGGATATCGGAGAAAAATAAAAAATGTAATCCGATCCATTAAATATCACGAAAGCACCTCGCAAAACTTGCAACACGCCGTAACTCACCTCAGAACGTTAGCAGTCGGAGCAGTATGCATCACGTGATAGAGCAGCTGTGGCATGCCGGACCTGTTGGTGGTCTGGATAGCATTTGGAGCTTCGCTAGCAACCTGGCATTTCATCTCCGACAAAGTTATCCCCGAGAGAAGTAAAGCAAGTGTGTAAGTCCATCTCTGAATGTTTGTAAAGCATTCCCACGTTAAGCTTAACAAGCGACTGCCTCTCGCTCTCCGGCTGCTACTTCAATCGTGAAACTGCTTAAATGATCAGCTGATCGGCTTTTCTGTCGCGAGTCCGTCTCTCTTGTTTGTTTTTGGCCCACTTTGCACCAGAAAGAGGAAACCAGCGGCTGAACAACAGCAGAACGTTTAAGCTTGATCAGCTGTTGTTAGAATTTATTTATTATTACTTTCTACTCCAGGATCTTTTTCTACGTAGCTGACGCTGGTAACTGTGCAGGGGCGGATCTAGCAAAGTTTAGCCAGGGGGGCCGATAGGGCATTAACAGGGAAAAGGGGGCACAAAGACATACTTTTCTTTCTTATTCTCATTTAAAATGTCGAGCTTTTAATAAATAATTATCTGACACCAAAAGTTTTAATTTGATGTAAAATGAATAGAAGTCAATTACTGTATATAGTGACTATTAAGTCTAATATATACCCTAGTAAGCTATAGTACTTTTTACTTTGGGAAGGTACCATCTGTGCAGTCTGCAATTTTGTTGAAGAAAGATGTTGAATCTATTTAATATTTCTTGAAAAATAATTGATTTCTGTGCATTTTTTTTCACACTGCATCAAATTAAGGTTGATTACGTCGATTAAGCATCATGAGGTGGAGCGTGAGGGGTGGTTCCCTATTTTTTATTTATTTATTTTTGTTGTTGCTGGGAGTTGGAACCCTATTAGTTAGGTTGCTTAATATTTATGCTAAGTACTCTTTAAAATACCAGAATAGGGAGGATGGTGTAGGTCTAAGTTTATTAGATTGATCAGTATTGCTGAACTATGAAATATTTTTTTTGTATACAGGTATAACAGAATAGCTTTAGTGTAGTTGTTGTTTTAAACTTGAGTATGAACTTGCAGACTTGCAAAATGCAGCAAGATATTTTAAAAAACAGTTTTGTTGATTAAAAAACACTATATCGGATTCATATCGGTATCGGCAGATATCCAAATTTATGATATCGGTATCGGACATAAAAAAGTGGTATCGTGCCATCTCTAGTGTGTTTGTAAAGCATCTTACAAGTATGATGAATCTGAGAATGGCAGGGTGCAGAAGGCAGCTCTGTCCTGAGCTGAGCAGGCTGTGGAGGAGGAATCGACTCCATGGCTGACACACCACATGCTTGGCTGCTCCAGACACACACACGCACACAGACACGCACACACACAGACACACAGACAGACACACACACACGCCTTACTTAGATCCACTCAAGACAAACCTGTTGTTGCTGCACAGATATTGTCCGAATAAACAATGGCATGTAACCTTCACATATGCTATTTCAAGTTTAAGTTACAAAGTAAAAAAAAAACAACTCAAGACTTGCTGTAAATTCACTTACAGTTGCTTTCCACAGCTGTACATGTCATACTCATAAAACACTGCTGTTTCTCAAATCTCCTTCAAATATATACATTTGCAGTTTTTCATTTCTTTCTCTGTGGACGTGTGCACATTATCCTCACTCACTCCCTCTTTCCCCATCTCTCTGTTTGATACCTGTAGCAGGACTCTTTCTCTGAAGGAAGCCCAGCAGGGAGCTCAGACAGTTGACTGAGGCTCGCAACAGCAACTCGTGCTTCTGAGGAGAAAGAGACACATTGAGGTAAAACATGAGATTTGCAGAAGAAAAAAAAAGAAAAAGAAAAAATATCTCTCAGCTTTAAAATGTCAAATCGCTGCAAGCCAGGGAAAGAGCAGAATGTGAAACGTGTGCCTGTGTGCTCTCGCTCGGCAGAAATGGGCGCGATGGCAGCAACAGATGAATTGGGGGAAGAAACACAGATATCTGCTCTCCAACAGACGGAGATGCAGTCAGCAAAAGAAGGGGGGTAAGAAGGGAACACTAGAGAGAGTGACTGAGTGATGTTTTAATAATGCATGTCTCTCCCGCAGTGTCAGGGCTTACACTGAGCACTATGTAGTGTCCAAAAATACTGAAGTAGGCCACGGAGATATATAGATGACAGTGGAAAGTTGGACTATAATCCATAAGCAGCGAGGAGCAGAAAGCTGAAGAAAGGAGTCAAGAGGATGAGCTGGAGTGAGCGCGAGGGAGCTGAAGTGTGCAGAGGTACGAGAACGCTTAGATGAGAGGAGGGCAAATGAGGACAGGAAGATAAAAGGAGAGGTTAAAATGAGAGCTAAGAACAAGCAAGGAGAAAGGGAGAGCAGCGCAGAGTCGAAAAAAGTATGTGTGGGAGAGGGACTCTGGAGCTGCAGTGAGTCTTGCTGCTGCTGAATCGGAGCATCGAGAGGAAAGACAGCAAAAGGAGAGGAGGAGAGTGGGGAACTCATATCAGCTGCTGAACAGCAGACTACAGAGCACTGAACCATAGAACTGAAACTCAGTTCAGCGCTACAGCTTCTTACAGAGAGAGGAAATGCTGCTAGTGTGGAACCAGAGGCTGGTATACTGCAGCACAGAAGAAGAAAAAACAAGTGCGGGCCTGACACAGAAACCACCCAACAGTTCCACATATACAATACAACAGAATAAAATTACTTTATTGTCCACATTAGTGGAAAAATTGTCTTTGGATCATCAAGTCAATCGATTCAAATCAAGCACACATTCATACATATAAACATGTGAACATTCAATTCCATTCAAAATACATCACATCATCTTATTCAGTATATTAATTGCTTTATGGCACAAATGATCCCTTATATACCTTTTTAATAGCTAGAGGCCTCCTATAACTCTCATCCTACAAGAAAAGCCTATAGAAAATATTCTTCATGATTTCTTTGACAAAGAAATCATCTGCTACTCTTTTGGGTTAGTCATACTTTAGACCGTTTGTTTCACCACCAACATGTAATAACAATGTAGAGACGGACGTGACTGCACTGGATCCGTGTGCAGTGCCGCAGTGCTAACTGTTAAATCAATCGGCATCTCATTTCCCCACACAACTGCGCTTGTGAAAGGCAGGTTCACTGTCATTATGTAAAGATTTTAAAGATTACCTTTGTGTTACTTCTGCTGTGGGATAAAGGGCAAGGGGAAGTGTCAAAGGAGCGATGGGGGGGAGGGGGTTTCATAACATGAGCATTTAAGTTGTCATTCATATATTCTTTATTGTATCCGGCGATAGATCGACACCGTTAACGCATTTGTGAAACCATGTGCGTGCACACTGGTGTTTTTATTCCATTTGCTGCATATGTGCATGCGATTTATAGAAGGCGTGCAGCTTTCTCCAGTTTTTCATTATGTACCTCTTGCTCACAAAGCCACCATTAAAGACACAGTTTTACAATTAAATGTCCTAGACCAGCTAGCTTAGTAACAATTGAGACAGCACACTGGGTACTGCAGCGCTCGAGCTTTCATTATAACACAGGGATTTACTGAACTAGCTTGTTATATTAATTCATACCCTCCATAAGCAAGAACTGGGAAATGCAACGCTGCAGTGAAAGTCTTTCTCTCTCGCGCACGCACACACACACACACACACACACACACACACACACACACACACACACACACACACACACACACACACAAAACATAATTACTACTTTTTCAACCATTACTTCAAATTTACCCTAAATGGAAACCTACCCTGAAATGTATGACTTACATCATCAAGAATTATCCAGACTCCGGAAGCGAGGCAGATTTACACCCACACAACATGAGTAATATAGTAATCTTTTACCACTGCAGATTTTACATGTGCTTCATCACACGTCCCCTGCACTATATGGGGCTTTTGTCATTTTCTCTAACTTGTGCCTTCTTGTCTCCTCTGCCTTCTTTCCCGTGACCTGAAAATCAATCTCGGTGTGCCATCATGAAGGATGTCTCAACACCTAAAATGAATCAGCAGGAGAAAGGAATGAGGAGAGAAGAAGCTTTGCTGGAGAAGTTATGATCCAGGATATGACATGTGTATCCTATGTGGAAGTTTGTTTATGCTCGATGCAGGGAGGTGTGACAGGCAGCTGGAACACGGAGGAGGAGGATTCCACAGATAAGTACACCTTCATGCTAAACTACGGGGAAAAAAGTCTGACATCTGCACGTTACTGACACACTGAGCTGGTCTGTGCACGAAGGAAAGATGGAGGAAATGATGTGCAAGGAGGTTTAGTAAGGAAAGGAAACAAGGATGTACAAGGCAAGCAATAAGAAGGGGGCCGGTGTTGGTCTCTTGTTATCACTGATTACAACAGATGATAACAGCCTTTAGAGCGTGCCAGCAGGTAGGGGAGGGTAACGGCCTAAAGGCAATATGCATGAGCCTGATAATAGCCATTCAGCAGGCTGATAACAGGCAAACTGGATATACAGACAGACAGAGGACAGCTTATAACAGGCAGATATTATTCAATCCCTGCAATCAAGCAAGATGGCATACGACATGTTTTCCCAGTTGATTTAAAATGCAGAATAAATCAAATCACTTTTTTATTGTCACATCACATGTGCAGGCACACTGGCACAGCACATGCGAGTGAAATTCTTGTGTGCGAGCCCCACAAGCAACAGAGATGTGCAAACACAACAACACAAACGAGCAAAATACAAGAATGGCCAACCTGAAACTAATAAATATATGTACAATATATAATAGTGTATGCATTTCTGGATGTGTATACTAAATATTTTCCTACGTGTGTGTGTGTGTGTGTGTGTGTGTGTGTATACACATTTTTACAAATTAAATAGTAAAAAAATAAAATAAAATAATAATAATAATAATAATAATAAAATATATAAAATATACAGAGTTGAATATGTGCAAAACAAGTGGCATATAATCCATGGAATATAATCCATGGAGTCAAACCCAGGAGAAAGCCACAACTCCAAACCGCTGAACCACAAGGGAGCGTGATACAGAAGACATAGGTAATATATCTAACTATATAGTGAAAGTTTTAAAGTAGTAGAAAGCTGTTAATTCTGGAAACTGATTGGATTACTTCCATCAAGAAGGCTATGTGATTGGCTTGGTTTGGTCTGTTTGTTTGTCTCTTTGTTAGCAGGTTTGCTCAAAAAGTTGTGACACATTTGCAGGCAAATTTTACCACACCACCTCTAGGCTAAAGGGATTAAAATGATTTACACTCTGGATCCAGATCCAGGAATTTTGGGAGGAATTCTTTAACAATGGCAAAATTAAACGTTTGGCCAAAAACCTGTGAATCACTGTCGTAATGTTCTCAAGAAAATGTTACAAACTGAACCGGATCCAGATAGCTTTTTGTACCCATACACTCAAATCACCATATCAATACAAACCTACTCATATTCAAACATGCTAATACCTGCAGAAGGAGTCCACTGAGAGCAATTGAGAGGCACTGCGCCCCTCTGGAGCCAAGTGGGTACAAAGCACCATCTTCAACCCCAAGAGGTCTGAGCCCAACCAAGCCAGGACCAGAAGTCAGACACACAACTTCCGATGCCAGGTCAGTATCAAGCAGAGCCTGCAGCAGCCTCAGGTAGCTGACTGGGAAGAGGGAGATAGAGGAAAATTGTAAATGTCTGAAAAAGCAGAGCAAATGAATGATGGAATGTCTAAGCAAAGGAGGGTGAAAGAAAGAGAGAAGGAAAATAAATGTGGAAGGCAAGGCCACAGAAGAAAGAGGTCCACAGCACAACAGAAAGCAGCGAGTGTGTGAGTAAAAACTGAAAAAGATGGTAACAATCATGGAGCAGAGGGTGCAAGAGTACAGCTGAAAGGAACTGAGAACAATTTTTTTATAAGAGACGTGAGAGAAAGAGAGGGCAAGAAGTTAAAGATGTCAGTGCCAAGTACATAGAGAGAGAGTGCAAGGCAGAACGAAGTGAAGGAAACTGAAGGAAGTTCAGCGAGACCCAAGTAGTGATGGAGAAAAAGCGAACAACAGGGGTAAAAAGACTCCTAAAACACAGTGGAATCCAAACTTAGTGCTGCCAGCCATCTGAATCCCACTTAATGCCATGTACACTGAGATTAGAGCCCTGTGAGGGAGAGAAGACTCAATTAGTGGCAGAAGAAAAGAGGGAGGAGAGACAGGCCAAAGAGATAGAGAGAAACGGGAAGAGTTGGAAATATACGGGCAGGCTGGGAAGAAGCATAGGGGAGATAAAAATTGAGAGAAAGACAGAGAAAGGACGCTGAGTGACTAGAAAGAGAGAGAGAGAGGCAGGCAGAGGGAGGGAGCCAATACATCACAGCAACTCTGACAGGCCACTTATCCAGCTGACAGACAGAGATGCAGGAGCAGCAGGGATGATCTGTCTCCCAGTGCAGCAGTGGGATTGGGGCCACTTAATATAATGAAAGTGTGTGAAATGCATGGTTTGGTTAGCTCCACTGAGGATAACACATTGACTTTACGTATGTACATGTAAACCAAGCAAAGGTGGACCCCATTAGTACCCTCTGGTTTGCACAGTATATGGACAGATGTTACATTAATCAGGGATGCCTAATGCTACTCATATGAACACAGGTATCTTGGTCTTATGGACCTCCCGATGTTTTCATAATTGCGTTGGACAGGGAAACCGAGTAGCACAAAATTCTGGAACAGATGACTCAAGACACAAATCTGGAAGAATAAAAGCAAATTGAGGAAAATAGAAAAACACCAGCCAACCACAAATGCAGAATTTTCAGCCAAGTTTCTTTTGTATTCTTGGGTCACACACTGTTGCTATAATTTCAGCACTAATGAACTGTTTTGCCGCCGGCTGTCTGCATGGGATGAAGACTTATAAAAACAATCAGTAAAATTTGGTGTCTCTTACTCAGCAGGAGACTGTCTGTGTTTCTCTTCTGAGTAAGGAGTCGCTGCACAGCTGTGTCCAGACTCCAAGTGATGCTCTTACGGACCTTAAATAATAGAAAATGAGAGAGAGAGGGTAGAAAATAAGAGAGAGAGGGGAGGAATCAGGAATATAACAAGATTAGGACTGAAATCTTTGTGAGTTAAAATGCATTATTATCCCTGCAGTGCCGGCTGAAAGCAAAGAAGAAAGCGTGTTATTTTGTACCACGGCCTCACTGAGATATGCATCAAGCAAATCCAATTTCTGTTTTGCATTCTGCCCCTATATCTCAATCTATACCCTACTTTACATTATGCTGTGTCTTGCCCTTGACTGTATGAAGTTGTATCGTGAAGTTGTGATAAGAGCAGAGCTGAGCTGTTGTGTGTACCTGAGTGGAGTGAACACGCTGCAAGGTAATGAGGGAGGACAGGAGTAGATGGCAGCAGCACAGCAGGGCCAAAGGAGGACAGGCTGATGGAGAGAGGGATGTGGCAGAGGAAGAGGAGGAGGAGGAAGAGGAGAAGACTGTCTGCAGCTGGTCCATCAGCCCGCTGTTAGAGAGCAGCATGGAGACAGCTGGGAAAGAAAAGGAACAGTGTCATCACACTTTAATGGGATGTGTGCTTCTGTTTCACTGCGCTGTGCGTGGGTTTTGATAGCAGCTGGTCCTTATGACTGCAGAGTGACGTGCTGCAGCAACAGACCCACAACAATGCAAACACCTGTGAGGTCTTTGTAACATTACTAAGTGAAAAATAGGTTAAACTATACTGTTCTCTATTCATAAACACTGATATTGCTGTTTTACCATATACATGTGGGCAGGCTGAATAATTTAAACAATGTGATAATAGAACGATATGACACAAGGGCAACAAGATGCAAACAAAGCATCACCTCCAAGTGCTAAAAAAATCCCCCCAAATGAAACAATCTTAAAGTAATCATATGTTCTTTTCGCTTTGAAACAGAGTAATGTGTTCCTTCTCCTTTGCACCATCACTGAAATAGTGTCTAGCCTGAGGCTGAAACAGGTAGCTGTAAACTGATCACTAGTGATAATGAAGGCTGAATACATAGAGAGGCTGCAGGAGAAGCTGCAAAGTAGAGCGCCACAATTAATCGAACTTTAATCCCAATTTTGTCTTCCCATAATTAAATGAGCATGATCGAGCGATACTGAAAAAGCGCACTTCGCCAATAGAATGCAAAGCAAAATTAAGCGCTCCCTAAATCACGTGCCTGCATGTGCCAGTTTCCTGGAATAACACTACACCAAAAGATACACATGAATATGCAACAAAACTCAAATGTCTGGCAGAGCAGAGAGTGAAGGGCTTGTCTCTAGAATCTCTAGATCAGGTGTGGGGGAACTCCAGGCCTCAAGGGCCGGTGTCCTGCAGGTTTTAGATGTGTACTTGATCCAACACAACTGATTTAAATGGCTAAATTACCTCCTCAACATGTCTTGAAGTTCTTTAGAACTAATCATGTGATTCAGGTGTTGACCCAGGGGGATGTCTAAAACCTGCAGGACAGAACTTATTCAACTGAACTGTCCGAAAAAATACTACAGACTCAAATCGTTTGATTTTTATTTGTAAAACACCAAATCACAACAACAGTGACCTTAAAGCACTTTATATTGTAAGGTAAGAACTCTAGAATAAGAAAGAGAAAACCCAGCAATCAGAAACCCCTTATGAGCAAGCACTTGGCGATAGTGGGAAGGAAAATCTCCCTTTTAACAGGAAGAAACCTCCAACAGAACCAGATAAAGGGAAGGGCAGTCATCTACTGCAAAAAAACTGCAGTATATTGAGGCATGAAACCCAAGAAAGCTACATCGTGGTTGCAAACGTAAGTCATCCAACATGAATTCAGGCATCCATAAAAGTGCAGCTGCGCATGCATCCAGCTCACAAAGACGCACTGAAATCACAAATGCAATCGCACTCCACGTGCAGTAAAGACAGTGAATTACGAACACTTCAGGAAAATGGTCAACACACCGGACAAAAGATATGTCACCCCCTCGCACAATTATTCCAAAGTGGCAACACCTGTGCTGTATGCAAACCTTGGAGGGAAAATAAAGCCGTCGAGTACTTTGCTAGGGGTTTTATTGACAACCTTTTTATTTTGCTTCTAGAGATGCACTTAGACCAGGTGAACAAACACCTTATTTGTCTGCAAAGATGAATTTACGGATTAATTAACAGGAACAGAACACAAAATAAAGGTGCCCTCTTGCTCTGCAGGGCATTTTCTTTTTAAATCTATTTTACTTTTTTCAAAGAGGTGCACTGTATTTAGGTGAATGAGGACAAATTTTATTTTGATGCAAAGATCTGTACATATATGGAAACGTAATATCAGCGTTCTGTTTACGTGAAAGTGCAATAAAAACACATTTATCACTAAAATCAATGAATAATCGGACAAATAATGTGGATCTCCGTACTGATGAAAATAATTGTTGTCCATAATCACGGAGCCTTACTGCAAATTAATACCACTGACATTATTAGCTTTGCTTCCCAATGGTAACCCTTCTGTCTGACCTCCAAGTTAACCAGAGAAGTTGGTGTACTGGTTAGCACTGTTGCCTCACAGAAGGCATATTTCTGGGTCAAACCACAGTTGGAGTCTTTCTGTGTTCCTGCGTGGGTTCTCTCCAGCCACTCCGGTTTCCTCCCACAGTCCACACATACAGTATGCATGCTAAGTTAATTTGCGATCCTAAATTGGCCATAGATGTGAGGTGGATAAAGTGCTTTAATTGTAAAAAATAGAGCAATGTTTGAGTAAAATGAGACTTATAGAATAAACACTTTGAGCACTCAGCATGACTAGAAAAGAATACCCTGTAACTGATCAAATAAATGTCTGTGATAAGCGCAGTGTAACAGGTCTGAAGGCATACTTTTGTCTGTTGTGAAAAATATTCAAGTATTAATTTCTCAAGCTCTTTAGTACCTGATACTTTTGTGTTCTGGCTCATTGACTGATTGAGCGACTTTGGTTTTAAAGAGAGATTTCTAAAAATAAAAGCTTTAGTGAAACTCTCTTGGAAAAACCCCCTTATGTTATCATACATCTTCCAGCTGCACCTAATTACTGATTTTGTTCGTCTATATATGGATTTATGTGAGATTTCTTACCTTAGAAACCTACATGTTGCCGTGGCGGTAAGTGCTATTTGTGTTTGGACCTGTGTGTTACAGGTATTTAGCTGTAGCAAGGCGACGACACGAGTCTGCCAGTCATTGCTTTTGTGCAAATGTGCGACAAGCTCACAGACTTGACACCGTAACAAAAGACAAGAGCCAAAGACAATGTCCACGACCGAGCCAAAGCCTGTGTACCATTTGTAGTGCAGGTGTGAGCTTTTACGGTTATTATTTGCTTTGTGCCTCAGTACAACGTGCATCAAGGTCAGCCTCTCGCTTCTCTCAAACAGGAGAGTGGGGAGCGAAATGAAAAGACGGCAAGAGTCGAGAGAAACCTTCTGAGACAGAGGGTGAAGAGGCTGCGTGTGTGAAAGGTGTGACGTTAAGAGAAGGAGTGAATAAAAGGCACAGAGACCATGCAGAGTGTAACTAAAAGTGGCAGTAAGAACGTGTCTAACCTCTGTCAGTGCAGTGTGCAGGGGACAGGCTCAGGCAGCAGTACAGGTAGCTGATGGCAGGCAGCAGGCTCTCTGTTTTTATAGGCTTCAACCTCCCTGCTATGTTACTCACTGACTCACACACACACACACACACACACACACACACACACACACACACACACACACACACACACACACACACATAAACACACGGGCATTATTTCTGGGAAATGTACCTTTACTGCACAGCTGACCCTAAATGTAATGTAAAATATAGTCGAGTATCCAACAATTTTCTCACTCTTTCATCTATGATTTTATCTGCGGTGCTCTCAAGGATTTTATACAGGGGCATTCAAATGTGATGTAGCAGATCAAATGTAACATTGTGGGCTTTGTCATTTATTGCATGTCGTGGTGCGTCAATAACAGTGAAAATGCCTGATCAAAACATTCATGATGCCAAAAACATTGCAATATATAGGGGTTTAGTATAGCAATATATCATTATTAAAGAACAACAAGACAAGATCCAAGAGTAACAGTTATCTTAAAGATCATGATAGGATATTTTTTAAATAAAAAAAGAAAGTGTGCTTGCAATACTCTAAAGAAACCATAGGGTTACTAGCACCCTTATTTGAGAAACGCTGCAAAAGACAGTGGGCTGAAATATACAACTTACAACTGAGGATGAGGCTCCAAATATGCAGTATAAAGAAAAAAGTGGTAAGCCACAGAGGGATGAGTGTTGCTGACATAAAGACGAAAAGCAAAGCAAATTAGACCCTTGTAACAGGCATGGAGTTATGAGTTACCGTCTAGTAAAGTTCAGTGCAGCATTTTGATCTGCAGATCAGCAGAAAACGCTCCTCTGAGTATGTTTGTGAGGATGGTATTAAATCAAAGGTGAGTGAGGAGTAATTGAAATACAGATGAATGCAGAAGAGGAAACAAACACGACAACATTGTCTCTCTCGCTAGATAATTGTGTTGCTGTGTAGTAAGATGGCATGCCGGCGACGCTGTAAGAAAGGGAGATGCAGTCTCTGTGGATGACTGAGAGAGCGAGCTGACTTGTTTGCCTGCTGTCGGAGCTTTTCTTGGTATCACTGTAAGCGAAACTGTTTGCTGTAGCGATCATGTTGCTAAATCTGCCTCTTAACATAGGGGGCTTGAGCGGTTATTCGGATATTTTAGATAAATGCAGAGAGAGAGAGCTGTGCTCAGCGTGACATGTCAGCAGCACCTTGGGGCCTCACCATGGTATAGCAGTTTGAAGTGCACTCCTTCCATATTACTGTAATGGGGAGATGAAGGTGGATCATTGGCCTGCGTCACACAAAGCAGCTTCAGCACCAGAGGGAGTGAGTTCACTGCTCCATAAAAACAGACACAAACAAAAACAAACCAGAAAAAAGAAAAGGTAAGACAGAGGATGGAGTGTGACAGAGCGAGAGATGAGAATGACAATGAATTAGCATTTTCTCTCAAGTCATTACTTTAGTCTGGAACCTGTTGTACACATCATTTGTCAACAAAGCCAACACAGAGGATGTGGTCCAAACATGCACTCTATAGGATGAAGGATTTCTTGCATTCACTTGTGGTTTTTATGAAGTTTGGTTTCCCTAAGAGGGATTTCTGGAGCTAGCACAAGTCATCGTGAAGAGAAAGGAACCGGGAGGAAATGACCACATCTTACTCAGAATGATTAAAAATGACCACACACACACTTTAGAAACCAATATTAGGTGTCTAGATATAGCTAGGATAAATGGTGGCGTAAGAGGGTGGAGAAAAAGGACCAGAGGGGATAGGAGACAAAGGGCAAGGGGACTTTAACTGGAAAGAAACTTCAGGCTGAACAGTCATCTACATTCCCCTTTCACTGCTGTATTGCATAACATTAAAATATCTCCCCTTTGGGATGCCGCCGCACTGAAGCTAATATAAAGTATATATTAATGCAAATTACAGTGGGCTGAATTGGAACATGTGGAGGGATAACAGGCTGTAATTCCCTCAGGGCCCGGGATGAGCAGAAAGCAGGCAGAGGCTAACCACAGCAACAGTTTCTGAATCCCCAGCTGGCACGCTGCTGTTGTGCCCTTCAGCTGTGCTCATTAACCTGGGCAAGTACACAGACGTAATAACACCATACGGCAGACACCTATAACAAAAAAATACATTATTTGCACATTTGCATTCTTTTGTTCTTTTTTTCATTGTTACAAACCTTCAATTTCAGCATTTATGTCATGGTTTTATGGTTCTAATAAAGATACAGCAGCCTTCTGAAAACAAGTGAGGCCCGGATGCTAGTTTAGGCAGTCCACTCAAGCTAATTTATACCCGTGTGACATGCTACACTCTCCTCAAATTCTGTTTAAGATGTAAATGTCTCATCTCTCCCTCCAACATCTCAGTGTCTGCACTGCTGCCTGCAGTTTGACCCCTCCACCACCCCTGCATCCACCTGCAGGTTCCAGCAGGAGATTTTTTTTTAACTATTTACTGTGTTTCACCAGGAAGATAACAGAGATCAAATCTCTTTCACCAGAGATCTAGCCAAGGCAGCAGTCATACAAGCTCATAACATATCCAAATATGCAACACACGCTCTATGCTTTCGATGAGCTCCCAGCGCAGAGCCCAACATGCAGCTATATTAAAAATTCAAATGTGAACTGATCGAGTGAAATGGTAATAACGACCAATTCTACATATATAACTGTTTAATGTAAATTAAGTCAACAGAGAAGAGCCAAAAACACGTTTTTCCTAAATTTCCTTTGTTGGCTCCACAAGCAAATCCAAAAGCTAACGAATGGCTGTACACATCCATCATAAAATGCACAAATTCAGAGATGAAATAAACATGTTTACAGCCTGGTAAACAAAATGTTGTAGCTGGTATAGCTAATGAATGTTCAGACATTGCCAGCTTTAGCCAGTCACTGTCTACTGTCCTTTAACTCCACAAACTGTAGTCAGTGAAGTGGACCTCTCCACCGTGTTTTTGGTTCGCTTTGGAGTATTTTTAATACAATAATCTGACAAATAATTTGAACTGAAGCCAGTTACAGTTCATCCAAGAGGTTTATATGGCAGTTTTGGTGAGTGATTTGTAGTTTTAAATAATCTGGTATCTGTGGCTATGCTAGCATTATCTGATTAGCATTCCAGAGAGTTAAGGTGGCTCCCACCATAAGACTTCAACCTGAAGAGTGCACAAACTGATGGGTGGCATCATGATGGCTACGTCCATCTACTAAATACAGTCTATGAGCAAAACAAGTGAAGTGAAATTGTCTGACCTAATCTGACTGTGTCCAGTTACACCCCAGTTTATGGTATCTCACCTTCCACTGCCTGGTCGAGGAATTCATTTTACGAGGTTTTTTCCTTCCAGCATTAATCAGAGGCGACGGAGACTTTTTCTTGCCATTTTAATCCAATTCAAAACCAACCATATTTTAGGAGGCTTTGTTATTCCAGTTCACTTAAAATGAGATTTATATGGCAGGTTGGTTATAAGAAATAGCACTGCACTTAAACTGAGCACTGTGTCCAGCTGCTGTTAAGTCATATTTTAGGATATACCAAGCCTCATTCGACTGCCACAAATTTTTCTTTAATTTAAATAAATTCAAGTCAATATAATCTTTGTGCCCATGTTTGTTCTGCAATAAATGTTCTTATCTGAACAGCTGTGCTTTTCTGCAAATGTACTAATTTGAAAAAGAAGAAAAAACACAATTATCATTAAACAGCTCTTCTGCTATCTCTGAATGTCACTATAACAATCGTTTAAAGCAGAAAGAAAATGCTGCCAGAGAAAATGGACTCGCAAACGTAAATCAGCGCAGGTATCCTTTCAAAAGTTGCTTTCCATATTTGAGAATAATTAGCCTAAGTGCTTTCCATTATATCGCACAAGACATTGTGCCAAACGCTCCAATTAATCCGTGTACATTACTTAATAGATGTTTTATTATGGTATATGCCAACTGTTATTTTTAACCCCCAGTAAAACATCTTGGCACGCTCACTTCACGGTTATGGAGCAAAAGATGAATTGATTGTGAAAGTTGTTTTTCTTTAAACAAAATACAAATGCATTTTTAATATATTACTATTCTACTAGGTTCCATTAGTTTTTGATTATTTATGCCAGAAGAACTAACAACATCTGCAAACACGAAGACGCATAAACTTGCTAAATTTCCCTAATTTAATTCAATTAAATTTGGTATCCTAGATACAGAAAAGCTCACCAATCAACAGCATGTAATCCTTCTTCGTTTGAGCTGTGGTGAAAAGCCTGAGTAATAAACTGTGTTAATAACTGTGGAGAGACAATAAATCAAAAATAGCTCTTTTTAAATGAAAATCTTTTTTCTTTTCAAGTCAAAATGATGAGAAGGGCATCTCAAACCAAACAGCTCAGGTGTGGCTGCTGCTGCTTCACTTGGATAAATCTTCCAGTGTCTGCTGTGTGGGGAGAAAAAAAACCCGACATGCGTTTGATCTATTATGTCTCACTGTGTGGGAGCCCACTACCTCACCCTGCAGGTGGATGTGTTCCTGTGTACTGTGTGGATGAGCTTGTGCTGAGTGGGTTTGAAACAGCTGAAACTTTTATTTGCTACAAAATGTTTTCATTTGGATGACTAAGAAAGACGAACAAAACAGTGTCCCACATGGTGAAACTCAAACTCTGGGGGCCGAGCTGCAACGTTTACCTCTATACATCGACTGTAATTAACCGTATCCGTGACTTAATGAGACATAAGTGAGCATGAAGCCAAATCAGCTGGCATTAATGTCGATGCGCAACGCTGAGTGGTGAATTCATTCATTCAGAATGGTGAATCACTTTATGTGTGAGAAAATTAATCTATTAGTATAGTGCTGTGTTTTGTAACCACAGAGTCATAATTATTAACACAGTTATTAAGGCATTAGCGCTCATCCCTAAATTCGGGATCAAGGTTTAAAAAACAGAGCTGAGGACACATTTTCGGTGGAAGTACACACAGAGTCTGAAAGTTGTCTGAGAGGTCACGTTGTAAAGTGAAAATTAATTTATCAATATACTTTGAGTTAAAAAAAAAGACAGTAATGTGCAAAAGTCTTGATCCACCCCTCATTTCTAAATAAGTACATATATTAGAAATTATACTTATCTATCACAAATCTATCACATGGTACTTAAAAACCTCTACTTTCTTTATATTTTGCCATTTTTGGAAAAAAGGAAATAGACACAGGAATTTATTGAAACGTGCAAACATACATGGAAATACAGAATATAATAAAGTCTATATTTGGCATGAGCACCTTTATTCTTTGACACAGTCTGGACTCTCTTAGGCAGCTTTCTTGTCATTTCTTTAAGCAGTCTTCAGGAATAGTTGCTTCTTTAGATGTTGGCTGCCTTTTGTTCTGCTCTCTGCTTCAATAATGTTGCGGTCTGGGCTCTGGGAAGGAAAATCCATAACTGATAGTGTTCCACTGTGTGGTTTTTATCCTATCCAGGTATGCTTTTACTGCATTGGCAGTACGTTTGGGATCATTTATTATCGCTGAAAAACGAAGCCGTTGCCAATCAGATGCTTTCCAGATGGTACTGCACTATTCTGCATTCATAATTCTATAAATCTTGACCAGATCACCAGCAACACTGTATGAAATGCAGCCCCAAATCACGTCCGAGCCTCCACCCTGTTTTACAGATGGCTGTAGACACTCACCATTGCACCTCTCTTGTAACTGCTGTACAGACGGATGATGATTTGTACCATAAATTTTACTTTGGATTCATCACTACATCAGACCAGTCGCCACTGATTTTCAGTCCAGTTCTTGTGTACATGGGCATATCTCAGCTTCTGTGCCTGTTTACCTTCACTATGAATAGCTTCTTGATGGCCACCAGGCTCAGGATTTGTTAGCTGTTCGTCAGACAAGATTAAACACTAGCGAGGACAGAGCCTTTCAGTCTGTGGCACCAAGGCTTTAGAACAGTCTCCCACTAAACTACATTTAGCCAATTCTGTGGACTCTTTTCAGAACCTTTTTTATTCAACAAGGCTGTTTAGATTCTTATTGCTATAACAGATTTTCTTAAAATTACCTATTTCTTAAAATTTACCTTTATTTTATTTTGTGCCTTAACTTCATTTTATATTAGCTCTGTTAGATGAATCATCTGAAGGATCAGATAAATCTCTCAGGTGCTCTGCCAGGACTTTTCCTCTTTCTAAAGGACATGCCTTTCAGATACTGCTTACCTACTGCGGATAGTTTTTTAGGTCTGCCACTTCTTCCTTTCCTCCATTTGTCCATTTTCCTCATTTTTCTCAAGGACACACTGCACACTATGCTGAGATATTGTTAGGGACTGGGCAGGCTGTTTTCCCCTCTGTTTTCTCCTTCTGTCTCTCTTTGTTCTCTCAGACAGAGAGGTGGGCTTTACCTGTGTCTCCACCCACAGGCGAAGCCGCCACTCACGCACTTGCGCCCATTGCCTCATTACGGTACGTAAGGACCGGCTGAGGCAGTTGTTCTCTCAAAATTGGATCTTCCAGTTTAGTTTTTGCTGTTGTGTTTTCTGCTCAGTAATTTTCTGAGTTCGTTGTTCGTTTCCTGGTGAAGCTACTTGTGCTCTCTTGAGGAGTCTAAAGATCACAGCTGGCCATTTTCCTCTTCCACTCTAAGAGTCAGTCAGCCCCTACCTGCCCACTCTCCATTAAGCTTTCTTCGCCTACCCTGGATTTCAGTCAATCCAACTGCTACTCCTCCACGACTCAAACACAGAATCTAACAAGTGAGATCTCAGAGTTAAATAATCCTTGCACATCTCTATTGCTGCTACCTTCACTAACTACCAGTCTCCCTCTCTGCAGACCCTCTCTGGGCTCATCTGACAGAAACACTAGCTGCCTAATTGCTCATCTGCCTGTTGTTAACTTAATTCAGTCTCTAAATAAACCTTATAAGCCTTTTATTGTTGGTCTACATCTGCTCCCAGTGTCTAGTAATTGCAATACCATACCAGATACACTAAGTTTTTAGCTAGCAGCTCTTTGGTAATCAACTTGGTGGCAGAAAAACACTATTTTACGCTAACTGTGTTAGCTTTGGCATTTTTCATAGTCAACTAAAGAAATGCAAACACTGTGGCTTTATAGCAGGCTTCTAATAATGAAGTGCCAAAAGATGCAACTGAGAAGTGGCTCTTTGCTAGGTTGTCTGTTATGTATAGACAGACCACTGGTTCATCCCTTGAGTTACAGTAGGTACTTTTTTCTGCTTGAATGATGAATGACAAACAAACAAGCATCCCTGAAAATGTTCAGGTAGTCTGACTCGTCGGCAGCAAGAAAGCAAGAAAGACAGCAAGAAATGAGGAGTGGTTTGAGACTTTTGCACAGCACACTACACGCTGACTGTTTGTGTACATACACCTTTAAATATGTATTAATAAAATAATAAATGTCTCTGCACACAGATACAATCAGCTGTTCCAACAGACAGGACACCGTTCACAGCAGAGCCTACTTAAAAGCTGTTGTGCTATAAAAACAATTGGAGTCACACATATTATGCTAAATGCTTTCCCTGATTGAGGCACATTAACTTTAAATGAAAGACTCCATTACTGCTTCATCGCTGCACGGCGAGTGCGCGAAGCTGCCGCCAGAGGTTTTATGCTGTGCGGTTTATCTCTGTATTTCCCAGAGAGAGCTCGCAGAAGTTTGAATTAAAACTGCTCTCTCAATTTTTTTAATCAGCTCTCCATGAAGCTGATAAAAATGTTACCTGGTACATTTTGGGGGGAAAAAGAAAAAGAAAAAAATTAAAGTGAATTTTGTTTCATCTTTTCTATTCTGGTGCATCTATTCTCATTAATTTAAATACAATAGAGCCACAGTTACGCTGATTCCTGTACAGATTATTTTGCTTTGAAGATGCTAGAGGTGTTACAATATAAGCTCTGTGTTTCTTACCCTGTGCAGCGTATTCCTGTTCAAACCCATGGTCTGTGTTCACCACACTGACCCGCTGTAGGGCCTGGAGCAAGGCTGGTCTTAGCTTTGTACACAGGTTTATGTTGTAGCCTCTTTGACCTCCCAGAAGAACTTCTAGTACACCCAACACTCGCTCAGCTAGAGGAGCCTCTCTGGTGCAAACCATGTCCTGTGGTCAATTAAAAAAGTCACAACAAAGAAGGCACATCCATTTAGAATATCTCTTGGTAACAGTATTATCCCAAAGCAGTAAAGCGAATCAGTTGAATGAAGACAATTGTAGCCTAAAGAGGAATTACATATGGCACCATGGCTCTTTCTGGGACCTCCCCACCCTTTCATGTGCATACATGAGAGCAGCAGCGAGACCCCGATACAGAACAGAGCAGACATCGGTGACTACAAATATGAAACTGATTAAGTCAGGCACAGCATGAAAAGGAGGATCTGTGGTGGAGGTGACTGGTACAGTGGCTTGTGTGGGCAGCAACTGTGGGCAGGTTAAAGAAGTTTAACCAGCATGTCCTATATGAGATCTGCAAGCTGGATATTTAGGAGGGTATGACGTGGGGCTGGCACGGAGAATTTACTCCATGCTCGATTCAAATTTTTATTCCAAACAGCTCCCTTTACAATGCAGCATTCAGCTGCATAAAAATGTGTTCATTTGAATATAGCAAAGTCATTAACTCTGAACTCTTATTCAAGGTCTCTGGCTCTCACCAGGAGGGTCAGTATGACAGCTGGGTACTTCTCCATCACAGACAGCAGCTCCATGGTTTCTGTGTCTGTCTTCTGATCCGACCTCTCATCAGCACGGCTTTCTTTCTCCTCCTGTGTGTCTGCCTGTAAGACCAGATGAAACCCAGCCACCTTTTCTTCAACTCTGACTTACCAGAGTTGAAGGGAATTCAGGAAAACACACCCCAATGTGTCTCTAAGACTTGCTCTGTCAGAGTGAAACTAATTAGTGAAAGTTGCCAGAGTGAAACAAGCAAATTGAGTTCAGTAAAATCACTGAATTATTCAGAAATACTTGCTGGGATACAGTTTAAGCAGATGTCTCATTACCGGGGTAGGCCCTGTGTTTGTGTCCTGTTCCTTGGTCAACCACAGCTCCAAGACCAGGGCGGCAAATTTCTCTGCCAGCTCTGGGTATCGACACATGAAGTGGATCAGCGCAGGATGGTGAAAGTAGAGTGAAGAGAAGCTTTGGCAGGAGGAGAGTGCCTTGCTGATGCAATTCAAAGAAGCCTTGAATAACATGGTGAAGAAAGATTGATGAAGTCAAAGTACTCTCTTTGAGTTGAGTGTACACATCCAAGTTAAAAACTTGCAATTTTGAAAATAATTTTCTTCACAATCCGGAGGAGGATCTCTTTTGAAACCCTACTGAGGCAGAGCCCTTAGACAGAGGAGCAACTCTTCTGTAATCTATTTTTATTCACAGTCAATGTAAGGTATATAATATTGAGTAGTCTCAGAGAGGCCGCGTAATACTGTGAAATAAAGAAGGGCGCATTTTTCATGTTTTTTTCTTCTGTGATGCTCAACTATAGTTAAAATTCTTTGCTGGTGAATTCTCTACAGCACAATATAGATTTTGTATCAAGAGATGAACATGAGCAGTCAAGCTCTGACTCTAAGTATTTCTAAGCCTGTTAAAAAATGTTTTCCATATTCAATCATGAAAAAAAAAAAAAAAAGAAGCATCGGCTCCGTACGCGCCACTCTTTCGTCTGTGGACGGGGAAAAAAAAAACTGAACACGTTCAAAATGATGAGATCCTGACACATTAATATGGCATTGCTTGTCAGTACACCTATCTCAACCTTCAATCTGTTTCATATTGTTAGACTGATTTACTGAACACAAAATTTAAAAAAAAAAATTTCTCAAACCGAGGCAGACGTGTCTTCGCTGTCAGCGTGTTTTGGCATTAAAAGTGATAAAGGTTAAAAAAAGGAAAAGAAAAGTTAAAAATACTGGAGCCTTAAGGCACCATAATAGCAGAGAAGCCTGAAATCTAGGTAAAGTTTAAACTTTACTTCCACGGTGACGCTGTACCGTAAGTAGTGACTGCTTTGAAAGTTTTCAAAGTTACTGTGTGTGTTTTGATTTTGGCTCAGAGTTACCCCATCGAGTGAGGGGCTCTTGTCCTGTGTGAGTGCCAGCAGGTAGAGGGCAGAGCGGAGCACAGAGTGAGACGGGACACAGCCCTGCTCCTGCACAGAGCGCAACAGCCACACAACATTGGAGAAGACTATCTGGTCAGGGAGGAGCCTGGATTACACACACACACACACACACACACACACACACACACACACACACACACACACACACACACACAAACAAACACACACACACATATTAATGGCATTAATTGCAGTATTCAAAGTTCACATAAAGACAAAGTGCCCCCAGGGACACGCTGACGAAAGAAACTCGATATCTCTCAACACAAACGCACTAAAACATATGCAAAAGATCAACACACACATTCAGAGATCCTATCCCTGAGTATACAAACAACACGCACCCTCAGCCCTCCCACGCTATGTAAATCTCTGGCCACATCTCTCATAATCTTGATGAGACCGCGCAGTGGCAGGGAGAGGCTTTCATCGCCTTCCCAGGAGGTTAATGCATAGCCGAGGATTCGCAGAAAGAAAAATTAAATTTTCCAAGAAGCCGACATGCTGTTTTTCTCAGGTTATAAAAAATGCATTTGAGACCACCCTCGACGGGCCACGGCAGAAGAACAAGGAGAGAGCTGCAATGACGTGTGAAACCAGACGAATTTATATTCATACAAGTCTGATATATTCGATATAGCATGACTGCATTCATCATCTTGAGATTTTGGTTATGTAAACACAGTAATATAGCTCAAATGTTGCCTTTTCTGCTCTCAAAGTATGGACTACAGCATAGCTAAACAAGGCTTTGAGAGTGCGAGATGTTTGGTCATATCCACATGAACCAAAATTTTCCAAAACTACTTTAATTGCAAAAATGTACAATTCTTTCCAAATAGTCGGAGAAATGTAATATTCAATAAGGTCCATGTCAATATACGATAGAGACAAATGTTTACTCTTCACAAGTGCTTAGATACATAAGAAAAATGATGCTGATGCTAAAATATGCATCGGTTATTTTTATTTCCACAAAATAAATAAATAAAATAACAGCTTATCACAAGGTTGCTGGGCACTTAAATTGAACAAACTGTTTGTGATGTTCAACACTGAAGTACATAATAATTTATCCCAAGAGTGCTTGTATATATCTAAATATATCCCTGCTGCTTGTGTGCGTTATTACCTGTCTCCTTGCTGCAGGGCGAGGTACAGCATTATCACCAGGCAGTATTTCGGAGCCTGTGGTCCTTGATATTCACACAGCACAGAGGGCCACTCTGACAGGCGATAACACAAAGAGGGAAGGTTGTGCAGCAGTAGATTTTCAACCTCCTTCAGATCTGAGGGACAAGCAAGGTGATGAAACAGAAAGGAGAAATGCAATCAATGCTAGAAATGGGAAGAGGAGAAGGTTTGCGATAGAGAGCGAGAAAGCAACAAGAGAAGGTGGAGAGAATGAGAGGAAATGAATGAAGGTGAGAGGTGGTGAAAATAAAACAGAACACAGCAGAGGAGGCCCTGAGGCCAATTTTCCAAACAGGTATTACTCACTAATTTTTTTATTATTATTTTTAAACAACTGAAGGCATGCCAAAGCTGATGTTTATGAAAAAACACTCTTTTACAGGCAAAAACGAGTGAGGCTTGACTGATATCCAAACAAATCCAACTACAACGCCAAAATTCATCATTAAGCAAACATGGAAAAGCTTTAATTAATGTCTTATAATATTATCTGAAAAAACACATTCTGTTGCATAATGTAGAAAAATTAGGATGGATTAAAAAGCCGATAGAATGATGGGTGTGAAATGAAAGGGAGCATAAGAGGGAACATGAAAACGTAAAACATGAAAAAAGGAGTCAGATGAAGATGAAAGACAGAAGGGCTCAAGCAGGAAAGCAGTGTTAGAGAAAGGAGAAGAACGGCACAGGCAAGGCACAGACCCTGATCCATGACTACACAGTGGATATACAGTAAAGCTCCAACAGCATCTGCGGGAAGTGCAACAAAGAAAATAAAGAATGAAATGAGGAAAAAAAAACAAAAAGCACAGGAAAAGCAGAGAGAGAGAGAGAGAGAGGGTGGCAACAGTGAGCTCTATGGTCTGGAGGGTAACTGTAAGTAAGAAAATATACTGTTTACAAAACAGAGGAAAGTAAGAAGGGCTCCAGTTACCAATGCAGCCATCACCTCCAGGGAAAGAGTCAAAGAGTGAGGAGTGAAGAAGAATAGGGGGTTGTACTGAGTTTAAGAGGGAGGACTGGGACAGAGAGAAATACAGCAAAGGGTAGACAGATGAAGAAGATGAGAAAGGGGACAACAGATGGGAAAGAAAAAAGAAATAGACCCACACAGCAGGCAGCAGTGACACACTGCCTCCTGTTCAGGTCCTAAAGAACAGAAAAGTAATCCGAGACGAGAGGACAAGAGCCTTTTCTTAAACATTCACATGAGATTAGCAGATATCTTAAAAGCACAATCCCGATGACACGCTGTGATGTATCACAGGAGTAATCAGTAATATAAAATCTTAAAAGCACTAATGAGACTGTACACAAAGCAGGACATGACAGACAGGGAAAAAAATCTGCTAAAAACCTGAAAAACAGGAGTTTTTGAACAAGAAAAACATACACTGTAAAATGTGATAGGAAAATTTCAAGATGAGAGGGAAGAAAAATGAGGGAAAGCAAGAGGCTGAAAATGAAATGGAACCTGATAAGGATGATAAAAGGGAGGAAGATGGTGACAGGCAGGAAAAGAAACAAACAGGACTCTCGCTCTGCCAAACTCATTATTCACCATCACACACACACACACACAGACACACACACACGCGCTTACTTACTCGTACAACTCTTACATCTCATTACCTCAAAGAAATATTTTACTCCACTCTGGTGTCAGTGTCACACAGACACATCTGCGGGGGACAGCTGCAGTTACCAATGAGCTGCTTTCCTTTGCTCTTTATTTTAGTGGATGCTGCAGTGATGTGAAATAAGGAAGTGTATGGAGTTTGTGCATTTGCTTCCGTGTAATGGAATTAAAAGCAACCAGCACTTGGAACTGGAAATGTTACCTGTGCGGACCTATGTGTCATAAAGCGCGCCGACATTTAAAAGCCTTGGCCTGAGCTCTCTCACATAGGAAATACAATTCAAAGCCAGTTAACACAATCACTGTGTTTATAGTCCGCACACCTGGTTCCCTTCCTTTCATCCTTAACAGAAACCGGAGCTCTTGTTAGTCAACGTGCAAACACTTTCTTTGTTTTTTTCTTAAGCTTGCCTGTTGACTGTCAGACCCTCCTTAAGAACAGAGTTAACTTAACTCAAAAGAACAGGTGAGTCAGATGGAAATGAGACTCTCGCTCGAGTTTTTGATGTTTAAAGTCAACATAAAGACGAAAGAGAGAGAGCGTGAGCCTGAGTGGGCGAGGAAGCAGGCATGTGACAAAGAAAAACTAAAGCAAAACTGCAAAAGAACCTTATTTACTTTTAAAATCCAGCATCATTTTGTCAGTTCATGGCAGCGGTTCTGGGTAAAAAAAATGTATAATGAAGGATTTGATGAAGAAGCACCTGCTGAATGTAATATGAAGTCAGTTTGATTTAGTTTGCCGAGTATGAACTATACCTACATGTATCACGTTAATACAGACAGGCGGTAAATATTTGATTAAGCTGTGAATGGGGAAAAAACAGTTGAAAACTTCAGCTACAGCTAAGACGTGCTTTGGTGACACACTGACCTAGCCTATTCGGATAAACTGCAATGACAGTTCAATATTTCTCAGAAAACTGGCAGCATGACATCACTGCTGAGAGCAAAAACAGGGTTTTTACCCTGACTGCATGTCTCCGTGTGTGGTGCAAACGTGCATGTATTTGCATACCGTGCTGGTGGGAGCCAGAAGGAAGGTCTGACTGGGAGAGAAGACACATACTGAGTTTTTGTAGAAAACCACAGCAAGATGCATTCAGATTTGGGTTCCTGAAAGAGGGAAAAGGCGCTTGAACACACACAAACAAACACACCGAAGGAAAAAAAGATTTTAAAAAAAGAGAGAATGAGGGCACCAGAGACAAACAGTGAACAATTACCGCTCAATGCGCGGTCAATACAGCTAAGAGCTAACTGTAAAACCGAGGACAGGATGTGCTTTGACAAACTTCTCTCAAAGATGAAATGCACAGTGTTTAGTTTCATTACAGCTCAGAGCACGGGGGGTGGGCTTAAGCCTATCAAGTAAACCACATATATGACCACACTAGTATACGAACACAAAAAAAGGCACACTCTAACACGAAGACCCACAAAAGCGCATATTCTTACATGTGAAAAACAAAGCACACACAATGCAAAAGCACACTGTGGACTTTGAAGTAGTAGATCCATCGCTTAGAGACAGACACACTGCTGAGAAGACTGGCTTATTGGAAAAAAAGTAGAGTGACTCAAAAATGACAGATGCCTCGGTCGGTGTTATCTGCCTCATTGCTAAATGTGCTTCGACAGAGAATGATAATAGCAGCTCGGCTCACAGAGCCACCGCGGCTGGATACACACAGTGTAGAGAAACACGCGTGCGCCGCTGCAGTTTTAATTGTCGTGTGTGTCTCTGTGTGTGTGTGTCCTCAGGTTATCCTCTTACAATGTACCTGTTTCCTGCACAGAGGAGGCCTTTGTGTTCCACAGCCAGTCTGTAGAAACCAGAGGACGCTGGAGGGAAGAAGAGGTGAAGAGCAGAATAAATAAACTACTACACAGTGAGAAATGAGGAAGAAGATGAGGATGATAGCAAAAAGACCATTTATATAATGCAAACACTGAGGTACATCAAAGCCACTAACAAAAAATGTGACAGTTAGTGTAAACACACACAAAAAAAACCATTCAGCCTAATTCTAAGGAAAACACCGACCCAAAGCTCAGTGTGGTAATGACGAGTTTAGCAATGAATTTAAATGACGAGAAAGAGGAAGAGCAAGAGTAATAGAAGCTCTTTTTTATTTCTAGGCTGTCAAAATTTTCTTCATCTCATCTCATGTGTCACATTTAAAGTCATGTCACCTTACTGCCATGTCCACCCTATCAGAGTAGTAGTATAGCTGATTAGGATCAACTAGGTGAGACTTACCAGTTGTTGTTGGTAATACATCTCAGATTCTACAGGCCTCTGTTACCATCTTAAATGTTACAGTTTATTACAGAACAATTAGAAAAAGACTGAACAAGTATGACTTGTTTGGAAAGGTTTTGCAAACGTTGATCTGAACAAAGAACAAGACTTCAGCTACAATGACAACACCTCATACCAACACTATCAAGCACAGTTTAAGGGTGATCATTTGGGTTTGTTTGTAATCATGGGACCATTGAGTCGACCATCAGCTTCTCTGTATACCAAATTAGTCTAGATTCAAAATCTGAAGTTCTCTGTCTGTCGGGCTGACATCTAAAGTTTGGCCAAAAGTGAGTCACACAACAGGACAATGATCCCACGCACAGCAGAGTCTGCAGCAGAATGTCAAATCCAGACCTCAATCAGAGTGAAATCCTGCGGTTGGAAGGGAGCTGCGCATAAACAAATGCCCACAAACCTGCATGAACTGAAGCAATGGTCTAAAGAAGAGTGAACCACACTGATGCGAGACACTGATAACGTCACAGAAAAACATTTCTTCAAGATATTGCTGCAAAATGTGGTTCTACAAGCTTCTGAATCACAGGGTGGTTTTTCACAGGACTGCAGGGAGTCCTGACAAAAAAAGGTTTCTTTTAGGTGTAATGTGTGACTGACAGGTTATAACTTGTCATTTTCCAACATGCAGGATTACTGTTTTAAAGCGACATTTTTTTCCCACTCGCACACAATTTTCTCTCAGCCCTGCCTCAGTAGTTTTCAGTGCCTAAATGTAACTAGTGACAGTGAGTAAAAATGAAGGGAATCAGTGAATTAAAAAAGCAAAACAAAGTGAAAAACACATTCAGCTTTCTAACACAGATGCTGCAGGTCTCACACTAGCGAGCCACGGAGACCTCATGTTTAGACACAAGCTGGCTCTAAAAAAATGCATTTTATGAAACACCGGGATGAAAAAGTGCTGGTAAAACACAGGTGCCATCAGTTCATGATGCCCAAACCTTTGCATTTTTTTTTATCTTAAATTAGTTTCCAAGCAACACAAAATAACTTTTAAATTTAATTTAATGAATCACTGAAGACTTATGACAAATTTGCCTTCAGTAAAGGAAAAAAAGGCTATACTGTAAAGCTGTATTTAATATCTTGACCGTTGCAGTGCTTCAGTGAGAGAAAGCACCTCAGACTTATTAGAGAGATGTTTTAATCCCATAAGGGAACTAAATTGCTTTCTTCTTTGTCCATGTGGACCTATGCCACATCTGCAGGAAACTGCTCTGCTTTGATAAGCGCTTCCAGGACAAATACCGAGCTTAGGTTTGTTTATAATGTCACCACATCGGCTTGTCTGGACGCCAGAGGCAACAAGTTCTCTGTCAATTACTGAGTCTCATCGTGCTGACAGCCAATTTTTAAGAGCCTGCATAGTTTTCCCACTACAGCGATATCAAATTTAATTAAGGCATTTAGCCTCACTTTTGATAAATGTAGAATAAAATGTTGATATTACTGTTTCTGGCATCAAACAGTGCAAAAGCCCGATTTTCATTTTCAGTGGCTCGGCGGTGAACACAATATGTTGGTGGTGATGAAATAAAATGAGCTTAATTTCTTTTTATATGATTAGCTGGGAATAAAGCTTTGTGATGAAACTGCTTCTGTTTATTTCATTTAGTAAAACAATTTAAGACTTTAAACAACATTTAAGCAAAGCGTTTAATTGGCCAAGTTGGATTAAACGAACAGGCTTGTTTGGAAATATATTTAGTTTGTATTTTGTATTCCTGTGAAGATCAGACACACGGAGACCTCGAGACTCGTGGTGATGTGGGCTGGCTGTATGTTTCTAGCAATACCACCCGTGATATCTGCAGAGCCAACGATAACAAGACTCAAAGGAGCGGCTAATTTAGAAACATGAGCTGTGAGGGCTCTACAAGCCCTTTCAGCTACTGATATCATGAATCTCACTACACTGTAAATGAGTTCTATCAGCCTCCAGACAAACAAATGTGGTATTTACATTGTGGTGTAGTTAGTGCTGCCATGGTGTGAAAATTAAGTGTGCTTTCCCATTGCACTGTAAAGCCATAAACTGTATGTAAAAGATGGCAGTAGCCTCTGTAACGCCAGCCATTTTTGAAGCATCAAGCTGACGGTGATTTTTTTGGAAATGATGTGGTAAGCAAAGGCTAAATCTTCTTCGTCGTACTTTTTGACTCTAATGCTGACCATTATCCGCACAAAATGAACACCACTATGTATTAAAAACACTTTCCAACTAGAGCAGTCACCTCCTGCTGGTGATTAGAAAGAATGCAGGCATATCCAATATTCGCACTGGTCTCCCTTTTCAGATGTGGAAGCTTTTATATACACAGCAAGGTGAAGACATTCACATGAACTGCTCCACTGAACTTTGTGGTAAACTATTGCAGTTCCTGTTCACTTGTGTGTCAATCAAAAATCGTTTGTTTTATTGTCAAAATGTTTTGTTTACATTATCTGTTAACGTCTGTAAATTCACTTTGGCCAGGATCGAAGTGTTCATAAATCAACTGATTATTGTATTACCGGTATAATAAAGCTAAAATCTAAATGTGCAGGAAACCTGAAGTGAAAGTGATTCACCCTTTTCTGTGAACATTAAAAAAAACCACAAATCTAATATAAATTATATTATTGGCTATACTAGGAAATTTTCATTAAAGGAGCATTCTTTATCATCTTTATAATCCAGGAAAGTAGCTTTATAATTTAGAACAAGTCTTTTGGTGATCTTACAGTAGCATACATAGTAAAATATTTTATTGTGTCCGTGTCAATAACAATGTATTTTTTAAATATACCAAAGTAACTTACATTTCTCTGCTAACATCTTTATAATTTGTGAATAATCTGTCCTATATACCATTTGTTATCTATACAATAAACCATTACAAGAACAACAGTTTAGGAATAATTCTTATAGATGCTGCAACACACAACCTTGCAGCCTAGACAACATGCAGTCATCTGTTGTTTCAGACAAACTGACACATTTGACACTAGACTACTTTGATATACACAAGAGTTCATTTTTGACTCAGTGTCTGCAATGTGCTGAGGTCCTGTGGCTGCAAAACAAACCCAAATCATCACCCCTCCACCACCGTGCTTCACATTAAGTGTGAGGTGTTCGTGCTGATGTTATTTTGGTTTTTTTGTAGAGCCTGGGATGTGGCTCTTGGTTTCATTTGCAAGCTCTTGAGCGTTGCACAGTTTGACCTCGGGCGAAATTGCTCAGATATCCACTGCCGGAAAGATTGTGCCATTCATACTTGAATGTTCCAGACCAGCAAACTGGCAAAAGCTCTGCTTTTATATAGATACTTGGACTTGCTGTTGATCAGTTAATAAAGCTCAGTTGATTAGCATCAGCTGGTTGCTGCTTATAATTCAAATGGAAGCAGCTATGAGTGCACTTAGTATTTCAAAGTACTGCATAGACTCCTGTGAAAACATTCTTATTCAAGACTAAGATTTACCACAGACAAAAAAAGAATGATACCGTACATCATTCTATCATATCATTTCTTATCATGAAACACCTACTGCTGTTTTGAGTTTATTCAGAACTCACCGAGCTTATTTGCAAAGGCAGGCATGAGAGATGGAAGCAGGGTGAACTGGGAAGATAGGATAGAGTAGAAGTTCTGCAGTATGGGGGCACTGGGTGCACGCTCACACATCCTCTACACACATAGGAATTTACAGACAAAAACAAACCACAAACTGTAAACAATTTTTTCCCGTGTGATTGATTTTTTTAGCCTGAAGAGACCCAACGAAATATAACATAAAAACAATTACCAACACTACAGCAGAGGCACTGATCAATAGGCACGCATGTCCATGTGTACGCAAAGCTAATCTAGACAGAGGTTGTGTGGCTGTGCTTATTAATATAGTCATTTAGAGGAGCCGCCAGACGGTGCATTATAATCAGCATGACCTATTTCTCAGAAAACAGCAGCCGGCAATTGATCATTTCCTCAAGTGTTTGGTTACGACTATGAAAGAGAGACACAGGGTTAAGATGAGAAGATGATTAATGTAAATCTGGGTGTACGTGTGTGTGTGATGGTTTTCAGCTCTCACTATAACAGTGGGTATCCAGACAGCGTCACAGCAGCGGAGCAGGCATTGACACAGAGACTCTAGAGAGTCCTGAGCACCGCTGTGCTTGTATGGAGCTGTAAATGTGTTCTCCTTCAAAACAGGGTCTGATGCACACTCCTCAGCCAGCCTTGAACAGATATCAAACACACACAATAACCCGCCTATAAAAAAATACACAGAGATAGATGCAAAAAATATATCTGTAAACACTCATACCAAGGATTTCATTAAGCTCTTCCATCTGCAGTTTAACAGAAAAGATGTAATTCAGTTACTTCTACGATAGTTATTGATTCAGTCCTATTTTCATCTTCTTCATTTTCACCTTTTTTCATCCATATGAGAAAATCTGACAGACATACTGTAAGAAACTCATAAAACTTTGTAAATGCGTTTATTCAGTGATGCCACTGACTTAACAACGTTCTGACCTGCAGGCAGACTGAAAACAGACCAGGGCCTGGAGCAGAAATCTTTCAGACCTCAAAGCCTGGCTGCTGGGATCTGACCTCTTCATTCTCCCCTGAAAATTAACAGAGCGAGATGTTAAAAAGGGAGTGCAGAAAAGAGAGAAGAAATGATGCAAAAGTCAGGAAATCACATCAAACAGAAAACCATCATCCTTTACAAGTACTATCTAAAATAATGGAACCTCTTCATAAAAACAGACTGAAAGAGACCCCTCTGTTATACAAGAATCACCCACTCACGTGTATATCTCTGGTTGTTACTTTAATGTTTCAGCTTGAATATAAGTGCATGCAAACTTGTTGATAGTCACATTAAATACCATTGTTGCAACACTGTTCATTTTTAGCCAGGAATCAGGACTCTTTAAAAAACAGCGGTGACAGACAAAAAAAACGGCATCAAAGAGAGCTCTGTGTCAGTGTAACTTTTGAAAGCACTGATAACCACAGTGGGTGGTGGGGTGGTGGTGACCACTCACTGTAAAACCTGGCACAGATTGACAGACGAGACAGATCTCGTATTTTTCCATTTGCAGATAAAACAAAATCTCACAGAGCTTCGCAGATGAGCGGGGGAGGGCAGCGTTAGGTTGACAAATCTGTTGGTGATGGCCTCTATCAACTTGATTATTGCCTCGTACTGGACTGGTCTGGACTGGTGGTCGAGTCTGAAGAATTCAAACACAAAAGTAAACACTTGATATTATCGGGGGTGGAGTAGGTGGATGGTGCAGGGAAGAACAAGCAAGCGTTGCAGAAGGGCATTGGTGTGGATATCAAGTAGTTCTGTATGTACACCCATGTGTGACCTACACAGAAGTTAAAACAGCTCAAACGATCAATTAAGTGTGTAAGTATGTTTTTACTTTTTTGTGTCATGCTGTGTTGTTGTACATGTCTGCTACTAATGTGTTTACTGTGTGCATAAAGGTCTTAGGCAATGTATCTGTCTGTTTTGTCACTTTATCACTAATAGGTCAGAAAAAATTATACAGAGAATTTGCTTTAAAAGACTCTAAAAGGTTGCCTGTTTCCTCAGGATATAGTTGCACAACCGCCCTTTGGCAAGAAGTAACTCTTTTACATATTTGCAGCATACATGTTTGTGTATACCTGAACAAAGCAGAAGTAACGCTGGCTGCCTGTGTGGCTACCAGCAGGCAGGAAGAGGAGACTCCACCAACCAGGACCTCTGAAACTGCCACAAACCCTGCGCCACTGGGGAACAGACGCACACTTGCAGGTTGTCTGCACATGCACACAAACAGACATGTAAAGCATTACCAGGAAACCTAATAGGGTTTTGCTTGTTGAAGCAAAGAATGAAAAAGGAAGACATTTAAAAATGACACATCACAGTGGATCTGAAAGCTGCAGAGAACTGTGCTAAAAGAAATCAGGAATTTTTCACTGATAGGAAATTTTTGACATGAGAGTCAATAAGAAACCATGAAAAAGCTGACCGTCTACTTTTTCTTTTTGCCTGACCTTATCTATAATTCTTTGTCCTGCTGTGCCAATAGCAGCAGTGACTGTTTGCTGAGTCCCTGCCTTCCTCACTCACACACACACAAACTCTCTTTAAGGGCAGGCACACACAATAAACAAATAGTGCTGACCTATCGGCCTTAGAAAGATCACCAGAGTACATCTCCAAGCTGCAGCATCACAGCTGTGCACTGGCTCACTGTTGCCGCAACATTAGTTACACAGAACATCCTAAATAACACATGCATGCACACTGAAGTGTACACAAACACACAAATTGTCGTGCCACCCCTGCGTCATTTAAGCGAGGTAGCTGCGTGCAGGAGGCAGCACACTCACTTACACTTAGCAGTGAATGCACCGAGACAGCAGGCACTATATTCAAATCTAATTAAACTTCCTAACTGTGCTATTAGTTACATTATGTGCACAATGGCACAATCTGTAATCAAACTAACTTTGTATTGGGGGGCTAGAGGGTTGAAAGCAGACTTGTACCTCAGCTAGTTGCTGTCTTGAAAAGTTCAAGCCTGCAGAGCATGTGTGATAATGGTTCTTGTTAGAGCACTGTATTGATTTTTATTCGCTGTGGATGATCCAACCCAAACCCCGACCTTAATAATAACTGAGTCATGTCGGGTGATTCTATATAAAAATATAGCTTTTATAGCTTTGCCATTACAATTCAATGCTTTACTCAAAGCCTTACACGTAACATTAACCTAAACCTAGTCTAAAAAAAACCTCCTCAACCTCCTAAAATGTTGGGTCTCAAACTCAAACTGTTTTTCATAAAGACAGATATACAAGTATACACCCAGACAACACACACAGACACACAGGTGCACACACACACTTTAGCTTGTTCAGCACTTTAAGAGCACCGGCCCTGCTACTTTTTACACTTCTACTCAGCGTAAAGGACAAATTTCCCCCTAAGATTATAAAATCTCTTATCCTCTGTATCTCTGCCATGTGACAGGGGAAACGTTCCATTAAAATTATGTCAACCTTGCAGAAACAAGACTCCTGTTTTTACTGGCTTGAGATATATTTTCATCTCCGAGACAGCAGACAGTTAATTCACATCTAATTAAAGTTTCCAGTCCACCGTATTTAACATGTTTTACAGGAGGTAGCGTCTCCTTGTCGGAGCAGATGGAGCTGCGCGCGATGTTCAGTAAACGAGCAAATGTGTGGTGGAGTAAAATCTTCAGCATAATTGGCTGTGGGGTTTTGGTGAAATGACATACACTATGTAAACTTTACAACCACAACTTACTGCAAACAGACAGATGTGCTGATGGTTTAATAATAATGGAATAACTTTTAAAAACGTTACAAAATACACGCATATCTAGCCACAAGGAACATTTTACAAACGTATATAAGTATTGGGTATTGAATCAGTGGTTTAACAAACATTTGAACACTATATTGCCAAAAGTATTTGCTCGTCTTCCTTCACAAACATGTGATGCAGTCCTATCATTTGCAGCTATAACAGCTTCAACTCTTCTAGGAAGTCTTTTCAACATTTATGGAAATTTTTGATTATTCTTTCAGAATTGCATTTGTGAGATTAAACAATGATGTTGGACGAGAAGCCCTGGCTCAGCTCTACTTAATCACAAAGGTGTTACATCAGGTTGAGATCAAAACTCTGTGCATGACAGTCAAGTACTTCCACACTAAACACGCTCATGTCTTTGCAGACCTTGCTTTTTACACTGGTGCACAGTCATGTTGGAACAGGAAGGGGCCATCCCCAAACTGCTCCCACAAAGTTGGGAGTATGAGGCTGTCCAAAATGTCCTGGTATGTTGAAGCATTAAGAGTTCCTTTTAATGGTACTAAGGCACCGAGCCAAACTCCTGAAAAACAACCCCACACCATAATTCCCCCTCCACCAAACTTTACACTTGGCACAATGCAGTCATATAAGTACCGTTCTCCTAACAAACCTGGTCTTGTCCATCGGATTACCAAATGGAGAAGTGCACTTCATCACTCCTTAGAACACATCTCCAGTGCTCTAGAGTCCAGTGCGTGCTTTATACCACTGCATCTGACCTTAAGCATTGCGCTGCTCAGCCATGGAAAGCCGTTCTATGAAGCTCTCTCTGCGCTGTTCTTGAGCTAATCTGAAGGCCAAGGCAAGTTAGGAGGTCTCCTGCAAATGACCTGACCCCACTCTGTGATTTTAAATGTCCTATCACTATCATCAGTGCGTTGGTGGTTCTTTGTGTCCGGGGATGGGCGTCCGGGTACACACCGGCTCACTCCTTGGCGGCCACTTATCGGGGCCTGGAGCCTGGGGCTCGCTCGGGCCGCTTCAGGGGCGGAGTGCCCCCGGTCTCTCGGCCTGGGGCTCGGTCACTCAGGCACAGCTGGCTGCTGGCGGAGCTCACGGGCGCGTCACTGCAACCCCCCCCTGGCTTCTGCTCCGCGGCTGCTGAGTGACCCCTCATCGGGGACTCTCCTCAGCTCTTTCTGGGACAGTGGCGCGGCTGCCCCTCTGTTGGTCTTCCTTGGTCTCTTATGTTCTGAGGGCCTCTGGATGTCTGGAGTTTTGATTTCCTCCATACCTGCTTCATGCCCTGGAGGACGGGGGCAGTGGCCCCCCCACACCCTCTAGCAAATCATTACATGAAGGAACCTTTTAAAAACAAGCGCGTCCATGCTCACAGGTGTACACACGGGTGATCACACACACAAACTACACCCTTTTTGGCTACTACTTCGAAGCGCACTGTGTGCCGTCGATCTTGCGTGCTGCACGGTAATGTTTAGTATTTGGTATTTACTGTCGTATTCCCATAAATCATTGTGATGTTGTTTATTCTATTGCTCTCGTTTTCTTCTGCTTGTTTTCTTTTTTTCTTTCTCAACAGGTGATCCAGGTGATCGATATATGCATTTTTTTTCTTCTTCTTTCTCTCTGCTTATTCTGTTGTTGTTGTTGTTTTTTTTTGGTTTTGGTTTTTTTTCTTCTTTCTTTCTTTCCACCAGTCATGTCTGTCCCGTATTCAGCAAATGAAAATAAAATAAACAGTAAAAGGTGAATCAAATGGACCATAACGGCAAGGCTGGGATGGTCAATTTGGTAAAGTAAATCCGTTGGGCATCTTTCTTTGCCTTTAGACAATAATTCTGATAGCAAAAGGGCCAAACGGGACAGGCAAAAAAAAAAAAAAAGTCCTATCACTTCCGAGCTGTGCTGCTGTCAATCCCAATTGCTTCCCCCTTGTTATAATACCACTAACAGCTGACTGTGGATTACTTAGTAACAAGGAAGTTTCACGACTGGGCTATCATGATTTTGATTTTATACACATGAAAGTGATTGGAACACCTGAATTCAATGATTTGGATGGATGAGTGAATACTTTTGGCAATATAGTATATTAATATCATTTGGCTAATCACCAGCGTATTTTCTGAGGGAGCCATATTGTAAACTGTATAATAACATTTTAAATATTAATCTATTTACTTTGGGATCCCAGTGATTATCATTTCTTCTTCTTCAGTTGCTCCCTTATTTGCCAGGGGTTGTCGTAGCAGATGGATCTGCATATTTGATTTGCCACAGATTTGTCATGCCAATGCCCCATTTGAGGCATGCCTCCCAGAGATTTGTTTGCCCTCCTGGTGACCTTTTTGTTTTGTTTTGTTAGCCAAATGTGTTAACTACTACACTATGGAGCTAGTCAATAAATAGAGTAACTGAAGAAAATAAATATCCATCTCACCTCTCCAGTATTTCTCTAAGGAGCAGCAACCCTTGTTTTGGCACTTCCAGGTTGGTCAGCTGCAAAGACTCCTTCAGACTGCGCACCAAGGACTCCATACCTAGCTTGCAACACAAACATGCTCACTGCTTCAAAGAAATACTCGAACTCTCAAATGAGCAGACACAAAAACAACAACAAAAAAACACTCTCTAACCTTGCTCGGTGCCAAAGTTCTTAAGAGTTGTTGAGAGACTACAGCCTACAGCAAGTTCGCATATTAAAATGAGTGACATGCTCATAAATGTATCACAAAGGATGCACACACAACAGCACTCGCAGCCTTGCATGTTAAACAAACAGAGACAGCGGTACATCTTTCTAATTTACTGCTACACGGAGTCTGCTGCTGTGTTCATACTGACCTAGAGCAAGAACCTAACAGCAACAAGGAGTGGTTAGAGCAGATATCCTGTGTACTGGTAAATTAAGTCTGCATAGCAAGTGTTTCTCAAACTATTTCTCTGGGGTGGTGCTGAAGTGCTGCAATTACTGTGGGGCCTCACATGCATAATCCATTGTAATGGCTCACATCAAAGGCATACAAACACACACACACAGAGTGACACATACACATGCATGTGTCTGAACAATGCTAAGAAATGCAATATTGTGACATTTTTTCCCCAATCAGCAATTACTGCTCGCTTCTGTAACCATTTTCCTAATATTTGGCCATTTTGCCTGATTCTTGTTATATTACAAAAGCACCAGCTGTCTAGATGAAATAACCCAGAATAGAGTAGCAAATTCTATTGGTCTAAATTCAATTTTAATGCGACTGGGAGCAGATGGAGCAGATGCAGATGTCGAGAAACTTCCACTTTGGAGGGTTTATTAAAATTTCCAGTCGCTGTCAGAAAAATTACAGAGTGCAGCGTCATTCCATCTAAGCTGTCAAGGACCTGTCTTTCCATCAATTATCCAGCAGCAGCTATTTTCAGATACGTTAACCGATATACAACGAAACCCAGGGCTGAAGACAAAAAGCAGAGATGGCATCGTCGTAATTCACTCAGGAATGGTTTCTGATCTGCTGTTTCGGCTCTCTCGCCCATAGATTTAAAAGATGGATGTCGAGACAGATGCACAAAAGTGAAGCCAAAACATTTGAGAAACAAACGCTTCCATCTTACCTTGTTTATGCCATTCGCAACCGGAGCCTCTGCAGTAGTGACATATTTTGTCTTTGCATTCACACAGAGAGATACAGTGGTCGTGCTCCTACAGCCTGTGTTCTCACCGTAAACAGAGTGACACTGGGAGAAAAAGAGGGGCTCCTCAGTTAGTAGCAGCAAGCAGCTGTAGGCAGACCACAGCAGCACCTCGTTGCTACTACAGGCCAGACGGTCAAACAGAAACTCTTTAAAAACAGTGACAAAAAGACAATTTTAAAACTTTGTTTTGTTCTTTTAAACAAAGTTGAAAGAAAAAGAGAGGACAGGGAAGAATTACTACAACACTCTTCTGAAAGTAGGGCAATGTTTTCTTGCACATTAAAGAGGACCTGTTATGCTAATTCCCAGCTCCATATTTTTATTCTTGGACCCTACTAGAGAAGCTTCACATGATTTAAAGTTCAAAATAATATTTATTTAGATTATTTCATCGGGTCTTTTTGTAGCCCATGAGCACATCTTCTGTCTGAAACACGTTGGTTTTACTTCCCTCTTTCTTCTGATTGGCTCGCCCTTGAACAATAAAAGGTCTGAGCAGCAGGCGGGTGGGGCTGCTGACATTATACAGATGGATCGTTGTAACAGTACATATGGAGGTATGTAACTAGGAAAAATATAACAGGGCCATGTGAAACAGTACGGCAAAAATTATGACAATGTTAGCCAAAGCCTCATCAAAAGTAATGACAATAATAATCGCAGGCAAACAGCATAAGAAATACAAAGTGGCAGATAACATAATAACAGGAGTCTGGACAAAGAGAAGGATCCAAAGGGAACACAGAGGAAATCATTAATAGAACAATTCAAAGAAGGCATTAACTCATCGCAGCGACTGTGTTTGTGTGCCTGTGTGTGCGTGTTACCAGGTACGTCAGCGTTGATGAAGGGAGCACTGTACTGACTGGGGGAATGAACCAGAACAGATGCAATACACTTTGCACTGGTCACCTGCAAGTTCTCATCGCCACTCAGAAGCAACTGAAAGACACAATTTAGGTTGTTTTTTTTTCCAATCCTTGACTTAAATAAAGATGCGTGTTAATCAAACAGTGTGCAAGACTTCCATAGTACTACAGTGTTTACACTATAAATGTTTCTTCGATTCTAACGGCTCATGATAGACTGAAGCAACAACTGGCTCCCATCTTCCATGCACTGTGTGGTATTGCAGTTTAGTGTGTTAGTTACCTCTGCCAAGAAGGTTAATCTTGGCAGCATTTGTGTGTGTGTGTGTGTGTGTGTGTGCATGTTTATTCTCTGAGTCTGTAAAGCTCAAAAAGTTTTGAATGAATTCTATTAAAAGTTTCTAGGGGTGTCGAGTGGGGTCATGTTAACAATCCATTCAAATTTGGCTTACATCCACCCAGGTTTTCAAGGTAAACTTAATGATTTATTGGCCGCAAACTGACAAACAGCCTTAAAACCTTATCAACATACAGAAAACACCATTTAAAGTTTTAAAGTATCGTGTCACATTTAACCTTTGACCTCTCCTTCAAGGCCAAGAGACTGATCTGAAGTTCAAAGAGATAATAATGCTATACAGATTTATTGATGTTTCTTGGTGCCATTGTCGATATACAGGGAAGTATATTTTGGTATTCTAAATATTATGTTTGTTTGACCTCTGACCTCATCTTTAAGGTCAAACTTTCAGAAATTCTCTTTTCTCTTTAAAACTCTGCTTAAAATTATGCTGCCTGTTTGCATTGGCACCAATCAAGCAATGATATTGGTGTACAGTTTGTATCTACATATCATGTCACCTTTGACCCTCGTTTCATTCAAGTTGACCCTACAATATGTTAAATACTGTCAAGAGAAAGAGAACAAGCTGCCTAGTTAGCTAGAAATATACTGTAATACAATCTTATATAATAAGCTCAAATTATTCATGTTCATTTATTTACAAATCAGTACTTATCATCCATTACCTACTCCTACATAATGTTTGTGTAATCAAAGTAAACATCTGTCATGCTACCTTTATCTGATTCTTACTGCACTAAAAACTTCATAAAGTAGATTTAAAAAGAACAAAGAAAAAAATGAATAAATAAATAATATAATACTATTCCCCTAAAAGTAAAGTGCCTTGGCGGAGTGCTTCTTGTTTTCATTTGAATATGTTAAAGTCTGGAGCTACAACATATTGACTCGTGTACCGAGGGGGGATTTATACTTTTGTAAATTCCACACAGAAATGGATTAGGTGCAGATTATATACGGCTGAGGGTGTAGTCGTTTCACCGACAACCAATCCCAAAACAGTGCTGGTCTGACGTCACAGCGTTGATTATTTAGTTAAGAGTTTCATTTAGAAGCAACACATTAGAGAACAGAGCCCTCCATAAAACCTCCCAACGTCATTAGCTGTTCTGTAATGTGAGTCATCACTGAGAAAATCTAACGAGATGTAAACTACACAATGATTTCCCAGACATGAACCACAAATATTTGTCCAGGGTAAAACCCCACTGAATCCCTATTCAAAGGCACAATAATCCAGGATTAGAACTTCTTGTTATGATTATCGTCAGAGCCAGAATGCAGGTCTTGGGGATGAGAGCAGGATGTTTGGACAGAGACCTTTTTCAGTATGAGAGGCAGAAGGCAGTGGTCAGGGGGCTGTTGGTCTTGGTTTTGGCTGAGGCTCTGGCTGTTGTTGGCGAGGATGTCCTCGTTCTCATCGCACATGACCTGACAGCTCAGGCTGTTCATCAGAACTGACACAGCATCAGCCAGATGCACAAGCTGTGACAGCAGGCCTAACAGATGAAAGACAAGCTGTTACAGATACTAATGACACAGATCAGAAGTTTTAAACACGATGCAAAGTTTATACAAAGGCCTAAACATGGCTGAGATCTACACATGCATGTGCTGATAAATACATTCATGTTTTGTCTGGTTTCTTTTTAAATTTAGAATAAAAGGTGCACAAATATTACCTACAGCGTCAGTGTCACCACTGAAAATCGCCACCATTAATTTGATAATAAACTGGGCTATTTCAAATATCACAGAGGGAAGTTTTATATTAGATAATCATTTATAAATATTAAACACCTTCTATAATAATAAAAGTCTCACGGTGAGGGATTTCTTCAGACTCAGCACCGATTTGTAATCATAAAAATACAAAAATGCAACTTCCCAAAGTGCAACATTATTAAAATACAATAATCTTACTTATATATTGTAGCCATTTCCAAATGCTAAATAAAATTAATAATACCTCCTGCTTCTTCCATCATGTTGCTGCTATCGTAGGTAAGCTTGCTGGTATTAAACTAATAACAACAGTTCAGCCATGTTTACTTTGCAATTGCAAACCAACCTCTATTTCAAACCTGCTGTGCAACACATTTTTCTCCCAAGTTATTACAGTGGCATACATTCCAACTTTAAATTTCTGGGAGATAATGACTCTGTCTTATTTTTCGTAAATGTCTGTACCTAATGTAGATCTCAGTTCTGGTTATCACCAAAGCGCACACTGCAAGCTTATTGTCCTTATAAGTCAAAGCTCCTCCAGATAGCAGGACTCTTTCATCTCCACATAATCCTCCCTCTTTCTCCATATAGCTTCGCTCTTAAGGAGATTTGGGGGATTTAGGGAAGAAAACAACTCCTTTTTGTTATTATTAAGCCGTACAAAGTAAGGGAAATTTCTTAAATTACATTTTTTTTTCAGTTCGAAAGGCAGATGTCAAATGACCACATTGCCATTCAAATAAGTCCTCGGCTGTCTTCTCTCAGCCAGCAGGGAGTGAAATTTTGTTTCATACATTGCTACAAATTCACCACCTCTCTTTTAATCTCACCAAGATCCTTGTTTTTAAGGCCTGAATAACAAAAATCTACATGATCAGACTTTTAGATGGTAGAAAACCAATTTCACTCTAGTTAGGTATCAGTTTAATTTGCACTTCAAAAACGCAAATATATGCAATTTTTCATTTAAGCAGCTACTGATGTAGTCAATTATACTTTTAAAAATCTGAAACTGAATGCCTTGAGATTACTTTATGATAATCAACTGTCATTTTCCCAACATGCTGTATCAAATTACATCGACATTACTTTATCCATCTTGTAAAACATACTATGTTATAAAAGGATTTGTTTAAAAAATCACCCCCAAAAAATAAAACTCATAAAATGTATTCAACCAAAATATTTTTCTCACCGACACAATATCTGAGGAGCTGCGGGGAGCTGGCATTGGCTAATGTTTTCAGCAACACATTACACACTCTGTCCCTAACAGCAGAAGGCAAGGACTGGGCTGCTGAGCCCCCAGGAGCTCCAAGCAGTTGGAGCCACACATACACCACTGCACCCTTCAGTGCTTCGTCTGGGAAAAGCAGCGCTGAGCACAGGCGGTCTAACAGGGGCACTGGTGGAGAGAAATGGAAACAGGTAAGTACTTAGAGCACAAGTAAGACACAGGCATAATCATGTGGTATAGTTGTTAAGTGTCTGTATGTTGTTGTGAAGCAGCTGCTTTATTAGGTACACCTGCTTAATTGCTTGTTAACACCATTATCTAATCAGAGAGCAGAAACTCAATGCATTTAGAATAACAAGAAAGCTTTGAGCTGATAGGAAGACAACAGGAACTCAAGCCAAGGTATGCAGAAAATCATCTTTGAATTCACAACATGTTGAACCTTGAAGCAGATGGGTTACAGCAGCAGAAGACCACACCGGGTGCCACTCCTGTCAGCTAAGACCAAGAAACTGAGCTTAAAATTTACAATGACTCACCAAAACTGGACAACAGAAAATTGGGCAAATATTGGCTGCAACATTTACATGTTGGGTCAGAATTTGGCATAAACAACATAAAATCATGTTGTTTACCTTCTCTCATGGGCTCAGGCAGGCAGTGGTGGATGGTATGGAGGATATAATTTCTTGGCACACTTTAGGCCTTTAAGTAGCCTCACTGAGTATTGTTGCTGTATTGTCTATTCATTTATGACCTTCATGTAACATCTTCTAATGGCTGCTTTGAGCAGGATTAGACGATATCTCATAAAGAGATACAGATCATCTCAAACCGGTTTCTTGAACATGAGAATGAGATCACTGCATTCAAATGGCCCCACAGTCACTAGATCTTAATCCAATGGAGCACCTTTGGGATGTGGTGGAACAGGCGATTAACTTCACAGATGTGGACCAACAAATCCACAGAAGCTGTGTGATGCTATCACGTCAGTATGGACCAAATCTCTGAGTTATGTTTCAAGGACATTGTTGAATCTGTGAAGATTTAAGGAAGTTTTGGAAGCAAAAGGGGGTCCAAGTACTATCGAGGTGTACCTAATAAAGCTGCTGATAAGTGCATAAATAGACGTATGATTGCAACATCATGTGACATTTCAAGATATTGTACATTTCAATTACCAAGAAAGAAGTCTGCGAGTATGTACAGAAATGCAGGAAAATAAGAGAAACCCAGAGGTGAAGTAATTGTATTACTGTGAGAGAAGCTCAACAGACACCACAAAAGGACAGTGAGATTACAAAATGGAAAAAGTGCAAACTGCTGGGAACAAGGTGGAGAGTTTCAACTCTAGCTATGACAGACAACGGTGGACCCAGTGTCGGCGGGAAAATTGCCTTGAAGATGAAACGGTTGAAGATTGGCAATTGTGGGAGAGAGCAGAGTTAAACGGCAGATGAGAGTGTGAGCAGACTAGATTGAAAAACTATGCAGGCGTAGATTGGAGCATAAAAATATAAAAACACGAGTACTTTTATAATTATTTTCACAAAATAATTTGAACCCTAACATTAGTTTGTTGCTAGGAGAACTTAATTACTCATAATTTTCTCCTTTATACATCAATGTAAATAAAAGGGCAAAAAATTAAGAATTTAGTGTGAACACACCAGTATACGCGATGGCAGATGAGACACAGGCAGGAGACTGGAGTGGCTAAAGAGGGGTGAAAGAGGCAAATATGTCTAAAACAGCAACAATGAGAATAGTTGCACAGCGGATAAGAGCACAAAGCAACACGGGACTCAGCGAGTGTCGAACATGGAGAGAAAGAGACAGAGATGACAGAGCAGGAGAGCCAAATCCAAGCCAGCTGCTCTCTGGAGCAGATCAAAACCCATGTGAAGCAGAAGAAGCTCCCAGACATGTTTGATTAAACCGAAATATATGAGGCGGCCAAGATGACAGCAAAGCATAAAGAGAGAAGCGGTGGGGGTGGGGGAGAAGAAGGGAAAAGAGGTAGAGGAGGTGGTAACTCCTCCACAGACATAGGATAAAAAAAATGTAGGGAACAAAATATGAGCTGCAAAAGAACAGATGAGAAATAAAGCGACGTGCTGCTGTTTAATGCCACTCAATGAGAAAGAAACAAACACGGGGGAGGCACGGCAAACAGACAAAAAGGTCGTCTTGTGCTTTCCTTAAAGAAAAGAGCAAAAGTTCATTTCTGTTTACCTTGCTTAGTGTTTGGCTGCCCTACTCTGATGCTTTGAACTACCTCTCTGTTCATCTTCTGATCCGCTTTCTACAGTATTTAACCATCGCTTTGCACTTGTTGCTTCACCCTGCTTCCTCTTTCTTGGTCTATTAAAAAACATTTTAGTTTCTCTATATTTTTGTAAGCACTTTCTAAAAAAAATGTCTTGTGAAAAGTCTCAGCATAAAAAAGTGCTTGCAAAAAACCAAAAACAAAGCGGAAATGCTGAATGCTGAGATGATGCAAAGCTATAGAAATGATGAAACTTGCCATTTAACTGTTTAATTTTAGATGGCTGATATTTTTACATATCAGCTTGTGAGAAACATTTTTAACTTGCACTATTGTCCTTTCCTTCTTTCATCCCTCTTGTTATCTCTTTTTGCCTTCCATTTTTCTTATCTGTTTCATCTTCCCTGTTTTGTCTGTATCCGCTCCTCAATCAGTATCAGCAATACAGAAATCGAAGAGAAAATTCTGGAAGAGAAAAGTCAACGAGTGAGGACAAAAAGAGGGGTTAATCAGTCAGAAAGACAGGCAGCCAGTGAGTCAGAGACAGAGGGAAATCTCCTGGGTGCTCTGGGCTTGTGTTGTCATTGCCTTGCTGTTGTCGTTAGTCCAAACAGCCCCACAGAGACTTGCTGAGTGACAGGCCACAGACAAGCACACACAGTCAATAGTGGCAGCCCACATCTTGCATCAACATTGTAACAACTCACCACTACCTGCAGCTGCTGGAGGGAGCTTGGAAAACTCATGAAAATACATGAGAGGTGGACACACATAGCATAATAAAATAACTACGGTGGCTGCCTTTTTGGCATAAGGACCACATTCGCGCTCCATCGTAAAGACAAGCAGTCAGGCGTGACACAAACACAGCACAATGCACACACGAACACGAAGCTGATTGACAAAGCCTAATAAGCACTGTGGAAAAATGATTCGGAGAGTACAAAGATATCATACAGGTGGTTGTAAAAGAGATTAAATCAACAACTGTGCGTTGGGGGAGGAGTATCTTTTCAGCTCGCTATACTACAGCTTTGTACCTAGATAAATACATTCATATAGACGGGGAGATTCAGGGAAAAGGTTCGGATGAACATTTGCAGTATTTGTAGCTTTTGCTATTTTACTTTCAGCAGGTGCTGGTATGGGATTGGCTATGCAGATGGAATTTTAAGGTTGGTTATCTCGGTGCAGCTGGAGAGCAATTGAAAAGGTCATAACAGCTAGAGAGATTGAATTGAGAGAGTTCAGGGGAAAGGATATGGAAGATAGACTTGTGTGATTTTTTCTAATTTCTTAGAGGCAGAGGAGGTGGAATAGGGAACAGCATGAGAAAGCTGGTTTCAAAAGTAGATATAGTACAGCTATTTCCATCAGCCAATTTTCTTATCCAACTAGGGGACTCAGGAGGCTGTAGCCTGTCTGAGCTGGTATAGAACGTCCTGGATATGTCGCCAATACATGCAGACAATGCTTTCCATGCATCTTGGATACAGTTTAAGAAGATCAATATAGGCTACGGTGACTGAAATGTAGATATGGCTCTCTAAGACAAAAGCGATCAGGAAAATTATGTATTCCTTTATATCTTCCTCTTCCACTTCAGGTGAACTCTACATTTCGAACACATTCTTGGATCTTAGCCCCTGAAATAATACATTTTTAATTCAGTTTCTGCCTCTCCAGTGCCACAGTGAAGAGTGAAACAGAGACTGCACAGTAAGCTACCTGAAACCTGACCGATCCTGTCTCAACTGCATTTTTAAAAACTGACCTGAATCAACGCACGTCATCAATTTCTTGCAGATACTCTATACATTCCGTAAGGCAAATGAATGTCTTTGCTATACAAAGGGGTCAGTGGCTGTGGCCTGCTACACAGCAGTATGTTTACAGTTTAAAAAGTATTTAGCGCCGGATTATAAATCTCAATGAGAGGAATTCATGAAGCATGAACTTTATAAATAAGTCCACGCATCACCTTTCCACCTGTATCCAGTGCTGGTAAAAACAAAGGGGAAAAATTATGCGTTGCTTACAACATTTCCAAGAACTGTTTATCACTTGACGAGATAAAGTTCACGCTCGTGTTGAGAGACGAGCTTACTGATGTACCTTTCTTGATAATGGACTGTAAAGAAAATAGAAACAAGGATGAAAACAGACTACTACTACTAGGGGCTACGTGTCCCTGTATTACTCTGAGGTCTCACTGAGTGTCATTTCCAGGGTCTCACCATAATGAGTCACAAGGCTCTGGGACACAGTAGGGGCAGCTTTTATTAGGTTACCCAAGAAGCTGAATGTAGGCAGGAAATGCTTCACACTGAGCTGCTCAGTAAGCTAGAAAAAGAACACAGAAAAAAATCATCAGTACTTACACACACACACAGTAATATAAAGGAAATCTTAATGCATTAGATCATAAAGCTCTACAACATCGGTTTGCACGGGTGTCTTAAAGCTAAACGGCTATTTTAATGGTAGGTTAAAAAAAATCTTCAAAATGACCAAAATATATTTTAAAACTACTACAACAACCTAAATATCCTACTACTATGGAAGCCCGTTTCCACCACTAAAAAAAAAAAAAAGGATCCATAACTCAAAATTTCGAGTTATTTTCTCGAAATTTCGAGTTATTATCTCGAAATTTCGACATATTAACTCAAAATTTTGAGAAAAGCAACTCGAAATTTCGAGTTAGCGCTGCCAATCAGTAATCTACGTGAATGACGTCATTTCCATGTTACCCGGAAGCTGAAGCCCTCAGCTACAAATGCTACAGCTAAGCTACCGGTATTACATCCAGTCGTGAATGCACATATTGCTGAGTGTTTTCAGCCTGGCTTCACAAATGATGAAATCCCTGTGTTATTAGCTGAATCACATGGTGTTACTATCAGCAAACATACTTTAATTTGTTGGGATCCGTTTTTGAGTGCGCGGTCCTGCGCCATATGCTTCCGGGTAACAAGAAAGCGACCTCATTCACGTATATTTTTGATTGGCAGAGCTAACTCGAAATTTTGAGTTATATTTCTCGAAATTTTGAGATAATAACTCGAAATTTCGAGAAAATAACTCGAAATTTCGAGTTATGGATACTAGCTTTTTTTTTTAGTGGCGGAAACGGGCTTCCATATACTACATATATGTTATTAACCGCTTAAGTTTTTTATTTCCACTCGATAAAAAATCTCTGAAATTATTCAGCGAGAGCTCCACAACAGTAAGGCCAAGCACACACGACAATGGGCTCAGAGGATTAGAGACACTCGAGAGATTTTTGCCTCCTTGTCCCCCATCACCAGCTTTGAGTGAGGTAGGAAACACTCTATCAAAAGCTGACATTTTTATTTCCACCAAATACCAACTGCAAATTGGAGAATTAATAATGGGTAAGTAAACACAAAAAAATCCTACAACTGCAACTCTACCAAATCTGGTGCAAGAAAAATGAAGCATAATAACACTAGGCCACTTCCATACATAGTGATACACAGAAGAAGGGTTAATCTGAGCCAAGTGCTTGCGTGTTTAAACTGAAAAAAATAATAATTTCTTCCACTAACAGTTTGTGTCAAAACTTATAATCAAGCTCTGTTCTTGTAGCATAAATGAGACTTGTCTGCTGTGGCTGGTGTTATATTTTTCTGTCATCATCAGTATACACAGCTATACTGTTTTCCACCTGCAGCAGGATGAGCCTTCTCCATTACTGTCTCCCCCTGAGGTGACACAACAGCAGCAAGAGGGAGACAAGCACACTGTCTGTTTACTAAACAGCCTTGGGAGAGTATGACGCTAGTTACACAAGTGCTATTAAAATTTTTAAGATGTTGGGCATGTTCTTCTGCCTGCACGTGCACATGAGTAGGAGCGTTTCTCTATTTGTCTTACCTGTTTGTGTATCTCATCCAAAACGAAGCGAAATGACAGCTCGCTCTGGAGCTCCAGGAGTAGCTGAACCAGCACTGACGCAAGTAAACACACACACAAATGTATGCATAAACATCACAAATAAGTGCAGTTTCACACTTTCGCACAGTCACTGCAATTACAAGACAGAAAATCAAAACAGTCAATGTTAATGAAAAATCCAGGTGTATAATTTTTGAAGTTTTAAATTATCCTTCAGAATCTTCTACCACTGCTTTAGAAATTTGCATGCGATTAAATGATTCAAACAGGAATTTACTTAAATATGAAGTGCCTTTAAATAATGGTAGTTAAGGAATTTGCGTTACATAAGGCATCGTGTCACACAAGCCTGACAACCACAAGGCGCTAGTGGAAAATGTGCATTCCCTGACTGGGGGGAGGGTTGTGCACTGAAAACTTTGCCATGGTTGGCAGCAGATTGGTGTGGTTGCTCATTACGGTGCAGTCACCGTTTATTCCGAGCAGTAGTGAAACTTGAAGAAGTGCAATGCAAGCTGGGAATGGAGAAAGTAAAGGTTGTGCCTTAATGCTGCCTGCAACCAACACAGTTCAAAAAGTGCAAGTCTGCAGAGAAGACAGCTTCTTACATGCTAACTGCAGCAATCTGCTAGCAACCAAAGGAACTGCAAGGAGATTTTTGGTGCAGCACTGTACACCCTCAATTACACCCTGCTGACTGCCAGGAACCTCCAGTAAACCACTTGCTACCTGTCAGTGTCACGGACCCAGTTCCAGGGATTCGGGGTCCGTGAGCAGTGTGGACTACTATTGTAGTTATTATTATTATTATTATTATTATTATTATTATTATTATCATTATTGTGGTTGTTGTTATTATGGTTGTGTCTGCTGTCCTGTTTTTCCGTGTTGGTGTACTGTCAGGTGTTTAGGGGTGTGTGCTTGTGTATGTGAGGGTGCGGTCGTGGCAGGCACTTTTAGGCCTGGTGGGTGTGGCCCTGCCAGCTGACCGGTCCCACCCAGGAATCCACACACACCTGGCGCCGATCAAGCCTCGTCAGAGGAGCTTCAAAACAGTGTGGCTGAGAGCTCCTCGACGCTGGATCGTTGAGTGACTTCCCGTCAGTCTTAAGTGTATTGTGCAAGGTTAGTGCAAGTCTACTGTTAGGTTTTGTACTCACGGCTGCCTTTGGTATGCGTGTTTCCTCAGGAGGAATTGTGGCGACCAGGAGGCAGCACACGGAGAGTACACAGGGAACGGAGACAGAGCACGGAGCACGGGATAAAGGAGAAGACACGGAACGGGAGTTGGGATCGCACGGGGGGATTTATTGTTGTTCGGATTGTCACCACTGTAAATAAACACTGTTGCATTGTAGAGTCCTGCATTTTGGGTCCTCCTTTCCCCACATCCCCACGGTCTGCCAGCGAGACCGTGACAGAACGATCCAGCCATTATGGGCCCAGCGGACTCAAGGACCGTCTCACAGGAGGAATTGCTCGCCCAGCTCTGGAAATACTGTCGGAGCATTATCCAGGCGGCGGATCCACATCAGAGACACATGCAGGTCGTATTTTTTGATTCCTTCTTATCATCAATCACCTCATCTGTGAGCTTTTTGGACATTAAGAGACTAATTTCGATTATAACCACGCTGAGGGAAAGTTCCTGTTTTGAGCTGTTTGGTTTGGGCTGTCCGGGCGAGGAGGATATGGCAACCTCCCTGGGAGCCCTTGCTGCCTATTTCTTTTTTCATAGGCTGATAGCCTCCCCGCCGTCGCTTGCAGCTCGCTTGTTGGACCCTCCATTGCGGGGGAAACGTTTCACACGCCCTCTGCACCTCACCACATCTCCACTCACCTCTGCGGCACCTGCTGAGTCAGCAGACCAAGGACCGGCAGCTCGAAATCACACAGCTGCTCTCCTGTCCGGCTGGCTGGTGGAACCTCAGCCTGATACGCTGGCCCCGGCATCGTTAAAGAAGCGACGCTTGCGCCGCCGGCGTGCCTCACCGCAGTCAGACTCTAAAACTTTCCAACAGCCGGCTGTGGTGAGTCATATGGACAATTCATCTTCATTCACCTCATCTGTTTATTCACGGGACTGTGTGAAAGCTAACCTCGTAGCACAGCCAGCTGCCCAGCCTGTAGCCGTAGCACAGCCAGCTGCCCAGCCTGTAGCCGTAGCACAGCCAGCTGCCCAGCCTGTAGCCGTAGCACAGCCAGCTGCCCAGCCTGTAGCCGTAGCACAGCCAGCTGCCCAGCCTGTAGCCGTAGCACAGCCAGCTGCCCAGCCTGTAGCCGTAGCACAGCCAGCTGCCCAGCCTGTAGCCGTAGCACAGCCAGCTGCCCAGCCTGTAGCCGTAGCACAGCCAGTCCAGTCAGCCTCTCGTCTTCATCCTCAGTTGGAGGCTGATATGCCTGCTGGAACTACCCTGCCATTATGTCACCCGCCTGTTGTTTCTACATCGCTGTCCAGTCTACCACGAGTAGCTGCCGCACCATTATCACCTCCGCCCTTTGCAGCTACTTCTCCACCAGCGTCCCATCAGACTGCAGCGACCGCAGAACTCTCGACTTCACCATCCACATCACCCGCTCGACCGTCATCTTCGCCACCTGCAGCTTCCGCATCGCCATCTTCACCTCCGGATCAACGACCATCTATACCCGCGTCGCAGCCGGAGGAGCGGCTCAGCGAGCGGGAGGAGCCCGCGTCGCCAGCTGTGGAGCTCAGCGAGCCGGAGGAGCTCAGCGAGCCGGAGGAGCTCAGCGAGCCGGAGGAGCTCAGCGAGCCACCAGCAGAGGAGCTCAGCGAGCCACCAGCAGAGGAGCTCAGCGAGCCACCAGCAGAGGAGCTCAGCGAGCCACCAGCAGAGGAGCTCAGCGAGCCACCAGCAGAGGAGCTCAGCGAGCGGAAGGAACAACCGGCGCTGCCAGCCGCGGAGGGGCTCTCGCTGCCAGCCGCGGAGGGGCTCTCGCTGCCAGCCGAGGAGGGGCTCTCGCTGCCAGCCGAGGAGGGGCCCGCTCAGCCAACCGGAGGGACCTCCACGTCTAGCGCGGCCTCCACGCCATCCACGTCCAGTGCGTCCACGTCAGCGACCGGCGCGTCATAGACCATGTGCCACGCCTCGCTGTTGCTCACCGGAGCAGCGACGTTGCCTTCGGACCCGTGGCAGGCCACCAGAACCGTTCCGCCGCCACCGGACCTGTGGCAGGCCGCCGGAGGAGCAGCGCCGCCGCCACCGGACCCGTGGCAGGCCACCAGAACCGTTCCGCCGCCACCGGACCCGTGGCAGGCCGCCGGAGGAGCAGCGCCGCCGCCACCGGATCCGTGGCAGGCCGCCTGAAGCGTTCCGCTTCCATCATGGGGTTGGAGGTAGGCCGCCCGAACTGTTTTCCCACCACTGCCTGACCCGTAGCGAGTTTTGCCTGCTTGCGGTCCACTGGGTCGGCCGCAAGAACTGTTGTTCCCACCATGGCAGTGGTTGGACATTTGAACTGGGGTTTTGGGGCCCTCCGTCCGGGACCCCCCGCCGCCCGCCCGGGGTTGGTTGTACTGTGGTTTTTGTTTTGTTTTTGTTTTTGGGTCGTCGGGTGCCGACCCTTAGAGGGGGGGTACTGTCACGGACCCAGTTCCAGGGATTCGGGGTCCGTGAGCAGTGTGGACTACTATTGTAGTTATTATTATTATTATTATTATTATTATTATTATTATTGTGGTTGTTGTTATTATGGTTGTGTCTGCTGTCCTGTTTTTCCGTGTTGGTGTACTGTCAGGTGTTTAGGGGTGTGTGCTTGTGTATGTGAGGGTGCGGTCGTGGCAGGCACTTTTAGGCCTGGTGGGTGTGGCCCTGCCAGCTGACCGGTCCCACCCAGGAATCCACACACACCTGGCGCCGATCAAGCCTCGTCAGAGGAGCTTCAAAACAGTGTGGCTGAGAGCTCCTCGACGCTGGATCGTTGAGTGACTTCCCGTCAGTCTTAAGTGTATTGTGCAAGGTTAGTGCAAGTCTACTGTTAGGTTTTGTACTCACGGCTGCCTTTGGTATGCGTGTTTCCTCAGGAGGAATTGTGGCGACCAGGAGGCAGCACACGGAGAGTACACAGGGAACGGAGACAGAGCACGGAGCACGGGATAAAGGAGAAGACACGGAACGGGAGTTGGGATCGCACGGGGGGATTTATTGTTGTTCGGATTGTCACCACTGTAAATAAACACTGTTGCACTGTAGAGTCCTGCATTTTGGGTCCTCCTTTCCCCACATCCCCACGGTCTGCCAGCGAAACCGTGACAGTCAGAGAATACAGTTGCCAGCGTTCACTGACCAGTCTCTGGGTCTGTATGAAGGTAGCTGTAGCAATTAGTTTCACAGCAACTGCCAGCAACCTCCAGCAATTTCTTACAGCCCTTTCTTTAAGCCCTTACCAAACATTTCTACCGATCAGTGTTAATCAGTATCAGATAAATGTGCCATTATTTTACAGCATACTGAAATTTTAGAGCTGGCGTCTAGTGTGACATTAGCGCCCTGGAGCTCCAGTGGCTCCATGGTTCATGTGTCACATGACGAAGAGTGAGCTCAGGGCATAAGTAGTGCTAGAAAACAATATCATGTTAGGTGGAAGGTTTAGGAACCTTTTTTAAGGTCTAAAAAAAGTGATGGACAAACAGGGATTAGCATTGTCGTGAGTACGTATGGAGAATGTTTGTGTTACTTTTCTCCCTGCCAAAGGGGAGAGGCAAAAGTCCCATACTGCAAACTAAACATAACATTTGGGGCAAGTTCAATTTGAAAACTGTGCAAAACATAATGATACGTATGCAAGTAGAACCTGTTTCCATTAAAGGATGTGCACTGGTGTGCAACAGGCTATGAGTTGTGGTATATTTCCATTATTGGGTGTTATACAAGCGTTATCCAAACAGTAGTGACATATATTAAACCCTGTCATAGGGCTGTGCGATATGACCAAAATCTCATATCCCCGATATAAGATATCTATCATCCCGATAACGATATAAATCACAAAAATTTAACATTTTCTGTAAATTCTGTGAATCTCGGGCAGCTCGACTTGCGTGAAGTGTTTTCAGCTGGGCGCTGTGTACCTGGAGTTGAGACTTTTAACAGATGCATGAAGGCATAGGTTGTAACGGCCGCCGTTTTCTTTGTATTTATTACACGGCGTGCTGCGGGGAAAAGCCTGTTCTAACGTTTGAGTTTAAGGTTTATTTTTTTAGTACCTAACGCATCTTTTTTCCTTCTCATCCGTAAAAACTCTGCATACACTTTCACATAATTTATTTTGTTTTGAAAAGTCTCAACAGGATCTTGAGCTTTATTGTGAAAGGTTAATATGCAAAATAAACAAGCGGACGGCGGGGCCACGCCAATGTTTTACGGTCGTGGTTGCAAACGACAAAAACAGTCGCTTGTCCGTCCGTAGTGTGGTTATATTAAATGTAAGAGAAAGAGAGAACTTTAACAAATTAATATAGCCACTACAGTGACCATCAAAACCACGAAAAAACGATAGCGTAATCTGAAACGATAGATGTTTTTATATCGTCATCCGATATATATCGTTATATCGAACAGCCCTACCCTGTCATATCAAAAAGGCAGTGTACCAAATAAATAAACTGCAATAGATGCAAGTTTAATGTTTAATGCATCGGTTTCCCTCTCAGTTACAACGCAAGTTCTCATTAAGCTGTAACTGCAAAGCTGAACAATTCTGTGAAGATTGTAGGCTTTCTTTCTCCTTCTTTCTTATCTCCTCACACTATGACTGCATTATTTATAGCGCTCAAGTGATTTACAAAACGTGTGCTTTACACACTGTCTGTGCAGAAACCAAATGCAGTGTCACATTTTAAGTACTCTTCTAACTGTTACAGAAAAGCAGTCCCTTGGGCATTTTTAAGACAGCTCCCGTAAAATCATTTGATTCGCAGCCATAGGTCCAGGCTGCTGGGGGATTCCCATGATGCACTGAGTGTTTCTTCTTCAGTTACCTTTTTCCACTCATGATGCATTTATATACCTGCATTTAATTAGCTATTACTCATCTCTGGCTCTCTTTCACAGTATGTCTCTGTCCTGTCTTCATCTGCTCACCCCCAACCGGTCGCGGCAGATGACCGCCCCTCCCTGACTCGGGAGGTTTCTTCCTGTTTAGTGGAAGTTTTTCCTTTCCACTGTTGCAAAAGCACTTGCTCATAGGAGGTTCATATGATTGTTTGGGTTTTCTCATGTATAATTGTAGGTTCTTTACCTTACAATATAAAGCACCTTGAGGCAACTGCTCTTGTGATATGGCGCTATATAAATTAAATAAAAGTGAATTGCACTGAATTAATTTGGACTTACTAAAAAATTTTATTTTTAGCATTTTTGAAAGGCTGCAATGGGAAAATCTGTCTGAGTGTTTGAAAGTGAGACTTTGCCACGAGGCCAAGATTGAGGATACAGAATAATCTGCATTTGGCTGCCCAAATAAACTCATTAAGTACAAAGAGAAATTCGCATTTCAGCTTTGAAGTCAAAAATCGCTTTAGCCACCAGCCCTGACCATTATCAGCAAGAAGGCTTATGTGTATCCTCCAAAAAAAAACAAAAAACACTGACTGTGTGTGTGTGTGTGTGTGTGTGTGTGTGTGTGTGTGTGTGTGTGTGTGTTCACAAAAACAACTGCATACAAGGCCTCCATCTATGTTTGCGTGAGTGCAATGTGAGCACGAGTCTGTACATAGAGTGTGTATGTGTGTTTTCCTGAGCACACACAGACACACAAGCATACATCACCAAACCAGAAAGAGGCATCTCTTCACCTTGGTCAACCTTCTCCAGAGTTACAGGGTCCTCTGCAGTTTGAAGCATCCCTGGGGACAGAGAAGATATGACAGAGCAGATTTTAAAAGGCATACTTCAAAAACCACATGCACTCTTGCTTCTACACAGAAGTACAGGAGGAAGAAATTTAATGTCATTATGCAAAAAAAAAAAGGATGAAATAGGACAAAATAGAAAATACAAATTACAGAGACATTAGATGGGGCTTCATGCTAATAAAGATCTATTTGATCATACTGTACAGGGTACTCTACCTTGCATTAGCTTTGCTGGACATCCAAGATAAAGTACTATCTTAAAAGCATGTTAAAGAAAAACAACTCAGTGTAGTGATGAATGTAAGGCATATTTTTATTGGATTATGCTCAGATGGAGAAGCACAATTCATGCAGACAATCCCACAAGAACTCTAATAGCTCTTTTAACGTCTTGTCAGATTGGTCAGAGCTTTTATGGCTTAGCATTTTGCCACACATCCTCTTATTGTGCTAATTTGATTAGAGCTTAAATGGTTTCAACATAGCACTTAATGCGGCAACCTAATAATCCTCCAATGAGGAAGTTATCAATAAAACCCTCGGATGATCTAGCATTAAAAAAACATACAGAGGTTCAATTATAGCAGTGTAACATTTGCAATAGAGGAGTCAGTAATTTAGTGTTGTGAGAATAATGAAACACAATGCAGGTCTATATATTAACAGTCTTACTGGCTCCACTGGGATTTTCACGGCACGGCAACTCATTCCATATTTAAAGATCCTCAAAAATTATTGCTGTCATGTCATCCGATATGTTGACACAGAGAATTATTCACGGTACAGGAGTCGAAATAACTTACGCTACAACTTAAATGCAAACAAGAAATCACAAATAATGAAAGTCTTGATAGTTTTATATGTTTTATACTTTTGTTAATAGCTCGTATTTTGTGTCTTTAAATCAAACATTTCAGAAATAATTTCAGAAACCCCGTCATAGTTAGTCAAAGGAGCTTGCAAAGAAAAGCGTCTGGACTTCTTTAAGTTACTTGAAGATGGTAATCCCCGAACCAAATGGTGGACACCAGAGGTGAAGGGAGCTACCAGGCTGAAGAAGGAGTCCTATCGGGCTTGGTTAGCCTGTGGGACTCCGGAGGCAGCCGACAGGTATCGACAGGCCAAGCGGAATGCGGCTCGGGCAGTGGCTGAAGCAAAAACTCGGGTGTGGGAGGAGTTCGGAGAGGCCATGGAAAAAGACTTTCGGACTGCCTCGAAGAGATTCTGGCAAACCGTCAGACGTCTCAGGAGGGGAAAGCGGTGCTCTACCTGCACTGTGTATAGTGCTGGCGGAGCGCTGCTGACGTCGACTGAGAAAATTGTCAGGCGGTGGAAGGAATACTTCGAGGACCTCCTTAATCCCACTGACACGTCTTCCGAGGAGGAAGCAGAGTCTGGGGATGAGGGGAATGACCCGCCAATTTCCGGGGGCGAGGTCACTGAGGCAGTTAAACAACTCCTTGGTGGCAGAGCCCCTGGTGTTGATGAGGTCCGCCCCGAGTTCCTGAAGGCTCTGGACGTTGTAGGGCTGTCCTGGTTGACACGCCTCTGCAATGTTGCGTGGAGATCAGGGGCAGTACCTGTGGACTGGCAGACCGGGGTGGTGGTCCCCATCTTTAAGAAGAGGGTGTGTTCCAACTACAGGGGGATCACACTCCTCAGCCTCCCTGGGAAAGTCTATGCCACGGTGCTGGAAAGGAGAGTTCGTCCGTTAGTCGAACCTCGGATACAGGAGGAACAATGCGGTTTTCGTCCTGGTCGCGGAACACTGGACCAGCTCTTTATCCTCTCCAGGATACTTGAGGGTGCATGGGAGTTTGCCCAACCAGTCTACATGTGTTTTGTGGACTTGGAGAAGGCATTCGACCGTGTCCCTCGGGGTGTCCTGTGGGAGGTGTTGCGGGAATATGGGGTGTCTGGCCCATTGCTACGGGCCATTCGATCCCTATACAACCGTTGCAAGAGCTTGGTTCGCATTGCCGGCAATAAGTCGGACTCGTTCCCGGTGGGTGATGGGCTCCGCCAGGGCTGCCCTTTGTCTCCGGTTCTGTTCATAATTTTTATGGACAGGATTTCTAGGCGCAGCCAAGTGGCGGAGGGCTTTCGCTTTGGTGGCCTCAGAATCTCATCTCTGATTTTTGCAGATGATGTGGTTCTGTTGGCTTCATCGGGTGAGGGCCTCCAGCTCGCACTGGAACGGTTCGCAGCCGAGTGTGAAGCAGCGGGAATGAGGATCAGCACCTCCAAATCTGAGGCCATGGTTCTCAGCCGGAAAAGGGTGGAGTGCCCACTCCGGGTCGGGGATGAGTTCCTGCCCCAAGTGGAGGAGTTCAAGTATCTCGGGGTCTTGTTCGCGAGTGATGGGAGAAGGGAGCCGGAGATCGACAGACGGATTGGGGCTGCAGCTGCAGTAATGCGGACGCTGCACCGGTCCGTCGTGGTGAAGAGGGAGCTGAGTGTAAAAGCGAAGCTCTCAATTTACCGGTCGATCTACGTCCCTACCCTCACCTATGGCCACGAGCTGTGGGTAGTGACCGAAAGAACAAGATCGCGGATACAAGCGGCAGAAATGAGCTTCCTCCGAAGGGTGGCTGGCCTCTCCCTTAGAGATAGGGTGAGAAGTTCGGCCATCCGGGAGGGGCTCAGAGTAGAGCAGCTGCTGCTCCACATCGAAAGGAGCCAGCTGAGGTGGTTCGGGCATCTGACAAGGATGCCCCCTGGGCGCCTCCTGGGTGAGGTGTTCCAGGCATGTCCCACCGGGAGGAGGCCCCGGGGCAGACCCAGGACACGCTGGAGAGATTATATCTCTCGGCTGGCCTGGGAACGCCTTGGTATTCCCCCGGATAAGCTGGAGGAGGTGGCTGGGGAGAGGGAGGTCTGGGCCTCTTTGCTTAGGCTGCTGCCCCCGCGACCCGGCCCCGGATAAAGCGGATGAAGATGGATGGATGGATGGAAGATGTTTCACCTCTCATCCGAGAAGCTTCTTCAGTTCTTAAGGTCAAATGGTGGAGAGTCCCAGATATAAACCTAGTGGGAGTATCCCCCCACAGAGGGACAAAAGGACCCCCTGATGATCCTCTAATCACCTGAGCCAAGGTGTGAAACTGGGTGTGGGTCCCAATCCCCGTCATAGTTAAAAGCAAAGCTGTCCACTAGCCTGCAGCCCATGCTAATGATCTTTTTTTTGGTGGCTACTTAGTTTGATGATTCCATCTATGAAATGAGATTTAATGTGGCTGTCATTAAAAATGAAAATCAGTTACATATACAGCACTTAATTAAGGCCCAAATTACTGCATCACATCAAAGTCACAAATCAGTATAATGGTTTAATCACACTACCGATGACAAGCACACCTCTCCAAAGAAAAGAAAAGTAGTAAACTCAAGGTTAACTGCATTATCGGCGTGGATCCTTTTTTTTTTTTTAATGAAATCAACGCAAAAACTATTATGTCCAGTAGTGTGAATATTTCTGTATCGTGTTCTGGTTGATTGCTAAGATCAATTGTTCTCTCTGTTCAGCCTGACCTTGCAGAAAAGCTGTAATGCGACTGCACCACCAATACAACAGTGGACTAACACAGTGGTGATTAGCTTCAAGGAGTGCAAATGTTAAACAATCAAGCTCGAGCTAGTGAGAAAACAGCCAGTGATGGTTAGGACTGTCAGTACTGACTGAAGGTCTGTGCACTGCAATAGTACTGTTGATGCTCCTTGTTTTCTAAGTGCATTCCAGTCTGATTTTGCCTACCTACCATAAAACTGTTTGCACCTTTAGAGAGATAGCAAGTGAGAGGTGAAAGTCCAGCGCTTCACAATCGCCCTTGCTAGACATTCCTTCTGTTTCTAATCTGCTGCATGTGTTACTATTTCTCACCCAATAGTTTGGCTGTAAAATGCAGACAGACTCTGTGGTCCTGTTGGAGCAGCTCTCTCAAAGCCCCCGGAGAATACTTCAGCACTCCACTTACACTGGACAAGGCAGAAGACTTCCTCACAGACTGCATCCCACAGACAAGCGTGTAGGAGGAGAGATATAGGAGGGTAAATAAAGCTCCAGCTGAGCATCAAGGGAAATTAACAGCATAATGCAATTTTCATACACATTTCCCAATCCTTCCTAAAGGTTGTGCAAGAGAATGTAAAGCCACAGTAAACAGCTACAACATGGAGATGTATATAAATATATTTCTTCTCACTGCTATGTCTTCATCGTCAATCATTTCAATGAGGCAGGCCACACAGAGCAGCAGCCCGCCTCCCTCCACAGGCCCAAGGCGCCTACTCCACTTTGGGTCATGTCTGAAGTGGATCTTGTTGCAAACTATATCCCTGCTTGTCATTCTGTTTGTTTCGCCTGTTCAGACAGAAAGACCACAACAGCTTTTTATACAAAACTGCAGGCGAGCAAGAGTGCTAGCAAGCTATTGTATTACCTAGCGCTACATGCTAACTATAATATTAGCACTAGCTAAAGTTAATTTGTGACTTAGCTAGCCATAATATCCTTAAAAACAGATGTTTTTGAAGATTTCTCTTAAAACCTTCAAAAACATCTGTTTTTAAGTAAAATTATGGCTAGCTAAGTTATAAATTACCTAGCGCTACATGCTAACTATATTATTAGCACTAGCTAGAGTTAATTTATAACTTAACTAGCCATGATTTTCTTTAAAAACAGATGTTTTTGAAGATTTCTATTAAAACAAATGCTATTGACAAACTCTAATAACCACAAAATATGTGTAATAAACCATAAACTAACCTTTGCTGACAGTATATATCAGACGAGAACTGTGCAGAAATGATGGCTAAAGTCAAAACCCCAAACTTTATTGAACATTACAGTACAGTAGGTTACCAAAATAATTCCAAACACTGTTGTACTAATAAAAACTGCATTTATAATGTAAAACATTTTAATATTATAATGATACTATAAAAATAGATATTTATAAACAAATATATGATACAAAAACTTAAGATGTCTATTTATTAAATAACAATTCTCCTGTGAAGCCTCCTTCAAAATTTACCTTAACATTAAGTGTTGGTTTTAAAATAAACAAAAAAAAAAGGCCAAATCCTGACAAAAAGATAACACAGGACAATATATTAATATCTTTAAGAGTGGTTTTACTCATATTAGCAAGTGTTATGTTGAAAGCTAACCCTTATTTAAAAACCACAAAAAGAGCTGATGATCTAATGGATTTATCTGGTATCTTTAAATGTGTATGATAATAAAAATGCAAATGAAACAACTCTGGAATAGTGCAAGTACATGACCATAGTTGTAAACTATGAATATATATGAATAACTTGTTTTGTTTTTTTGTAAATGTATGAAAAAAAGATAAGATACAAGCATTTTTTTCTGGTTGTTATTTCACTTTTTTACTAGAAAGATCCATGTGTTGAACAATAGTGCATGAAGATAATGTTCTGGCAAATAATGATAATTATCTGAAATGCTATGATCATTTTTGCTGCAGTTATTGGAACTTTTCAATTTCGTGTACATATGGGAAATGCTTGCCTCATCATTACACTCATGCTTGGTTTTTTTGTTTTTTTTGTTGTTTTTTAACATAAAATCACATGAAACAGCTGCTTAGGTCCCATATTTCTTGCTGATGAACATTGGAGCTCAGTACATTGTACTGCTCTAATATTAAAAGTCCAATCAAATCAACAGTCTCTAACATTCAAAGGAAGCCTGATGGTGTATGTTTGAGCAAATCCATGCACAATTAGCCTCACAATTATATATCAACACCAATTTACCCTCCAAGGAATATCTTAGCTGATCGTTATGCTGAGACGTGTGTCTGAGTATCATTTAGCTGTGAAGGCCACAATTTGGTTATCACCATGACAACAAAAGCCTCTGGGTAACTGAGCCACTGTGTGATGATAGGTGTGTGGGGGCGAGTATCAGCTACTACCGACATGTCGATTTATAATCTCCCTCTGCTTCTCTTTAAGCAGAGTTCAGTGCGCATCAAAGCATCACACGTGTGGCCAGCTCAGCACTCCGCGCCTCTGTCTGTCAGTGACGGTGTAAATGAGTGTGCAGAAAGATAAACCCTCTCAGAGTTCAATATATGTAACCTTTGACAAATGTGCTGCGCTCCAGCAAACACTGTGTGTGCAGGAAGTGGTCAGAGGGTTTTGTTTCTTCTGGTTGACTGAGAAGAGTCAGACAAGATATCGGTTTATAAATTTGTGCCAGGACAGGAGCTAAATCCATCAGTCTGTGGCTTTTTATTTGCCCCCTGAGAGAGGCAAATATAACACAAAGAGACGGAGAGCCTTTCTCGCTGCTCGGGTAAACAGGATGCATAATCTGTCAACTTTATTTGACAACTGCTTTACATTTACTTCAAGGGGGCGTTTCAGGGCGAAGACAAATGGTTTGGAAACAACTCCTTTCTCATTTCTGAGCACAAGTGGGGGGCATAGCATGAGAACAGTTTTCACACCGTTGCCTGGCCTTTCTTTCCCTTGGCTCGAACCACTTCCTCTGCCCCTGCGAAAGCCATTAATGGGGGTGTTGTGGCAATCAAAAAATAGCTCTATAAATTTGTCCATTATCTTCAGCCTACGCTTGATCATATCACCAGCTTCCTTGCACTGCAACACGCTGTTACACAGAGGCAACAACTTTTAGAGTAACAATTTTTATTTTCAGTAGTGGCTGGGATCATCAATTCACTGACTGCTCACAGCAATACACTGGCTAGGATTATCTACTCAAGGATCTGCGCTACCTCATCACCCGGTAAACCTAAACAGTGTTTAAACCACAGCACTGGATCATTATATTGTTACTGAGCCCATTTACTACAAATAAATATTCAAATAAATAAACGGGCCACTTCGTGTAAACCTATCAGTGTTTTATGACGCAGCACTGCTTCTAAATATGTTCTCAAAAAAGGAGAAAAAAAAGTTTGGTTCAGAGAAATGATCGCAGATCGGAAGTGGGCGGAACGGGGAAAATATGCGTGTGCGTCGGCTGCGGGAGGCTCGCCGGTCTGTCTCTCGTCTGTAGCGCTCAGGTGCGCTTCATCCTCATTCAGAGGTGAAAACTTTCCGAAACCGCTACCATGGATTATAAGATATCAGCAGGCAGTCATTTATGAAAATACAGTGAAATATGTTGAAGCATCGCGGCAGAGTCGGAGGAAAGCCCGATTAAAGCCGTTAAAGTCCTCTGTGACGGTAAGAGACCGAAAACTCAGTTATGTTTTTAACTCGGTGAAACGGGAACTTAAACTTTGGATGTTTGATCATTTGTGCTGTTTTTGTGGCTATAATGTGGCATACATTGCGTCACCTGTTGGTTAGATATGATATAGCAAAGTTTTTTTATACATATATTTAAAGTTTTATTTTAATAAGACCTATACATTTTCTCAAAATAGACCAAAATAGGCTTGCCTTCTGTTACTGTTTTCAAATTGAAACTTTTACTCTGAAACATAGCCTGTAAGATGGTAAATGGCCTGTATTTATATAGCGCTTTTCTAGTCCCTAAGGACCCCAAAGCGCTTTACATATCCAGTCATCCACCCATTCACACACTGGTGATGGCAAGCTACATTGTAACCACAGCCACCCTGGGGCGCACTGACAGAGGCGAGGCTGCCGGACACTGGCGCCACCGGGCCCTCTGACCACCACCAGTAGGCAACGGGTGAAGTGTCTTGCCCAAGGACACAACGGGGCTCGAACCGGCAACCTTCCGATTACAAGGCGAACTCCAAACTCTTGAGCCACAATCAACAAGATCGTTTATGTTCATTTTAATTTGTCCTGCTGCTGAATAATCAGAGAAGCACATATAACTTCAGTGTGCAAGCACAAAGTGAAGTCATGTTTTAACAACAGCCCTTAAACTGAAACTCTTTGTGCCTCATTCGTACAAATTCATGTGTCCCAGTCTGATCCCCTAGTTGTGAAGTACTTCCACTCCACCAGTCAACCTGGTGGAGTGGAAGTACTGAAGACCCAGGCAAATATGTTGCATTACTTCCTGGGGGATCTGAAATGTTAGTCATCAAATGTTTCCATACAGCCACAGCAAACTCACAAACCGGAAAGACTTTTGCAAAATATGCAGCACACTCTGCTCTCTTGGCCACAGTACAGAGAGGTAAGAAAAAACCCCAGTTTGAGACATGAAATAAAACCACAGTGAATCTACTGTATACTTTCTGTTTATGGTCAGACTGGAGCATCTTACTCTCTAGCCTGCTTACATAACCGCTGTTTGCTAGACTGCAGGTTGAACATGTGCAAACACATTTTCTTGTTTTGCCTTATCTTCAGGCAGACTCAAGAAAAAAGTAGAAGAAAAAGAAAACGCAAACAAACACTACGGCTCTCTAAATGACTCCTCGGCACTTTCCATAGCTGATGTAAGGCACAGTAAACAAACTGGGGAAACTGTACCAACAACAGTAGCTACTTTTACCTCTATAGTCCCGCATCCATGTATATAGACAGTGCAGGTACTGTGCGAGCTGTGATGTGCGACGTGACGTGTCACTCAGATGTCATCGTGGTCAAAGGCCCCAGGTGTTGTCCTCAGGTAGCACCAACCAGGGGAGTATTTGCTTTCAGACAAGGACAGCCACCAATGCTCAGCCCTGGGTCTGAGTGTCTCGCTTTCACAAAGATGCTTTTGATATCATAAGCTCAGGACAGCGATGCAAATCAAAACGGCACCGAGATCAGTTTTAACCTGGAGGGCGGTGAAAAGAGAGGATGGACAGAAAGTGGCACTGAAAACGACCTGCTGAGTGAAGAGGAGGGGGAATTTCAGACGGTGCCCAAAGTTAAAAACAAAAAACTGCAAGACAGATTTTCATGCACAAAAAAGTGACTGACTGTAATGATGCAAAGCCAATGGAATTGATAATGAACCATCATTACAGCGGTGGTGATGGATTTTCATCTTCATGCGGATGATGGGAGCGGATTCAAGTTTATTAGCAGGAAAGAATCCTGGCTCTTCCATGCGATCTGGCCTTCCATTCTTCCACTAATTAGATTGATGCGTCTGTTGCCTCGCGTGCTGGAAAACGCCATTCAGAATGAATAAAACCGTGTCACATAATCGTGGGTAAAAAAGATGAACAAAGGGGAGAATAGTGCAAGGCACAAAAATAAATGCTTCGAGGCATTTTCATCTAGTCTGTACAGGAATAGTAACTCTTATCCATTTATCCACCCACACAACACAAGTACTTTTGCTCAGTACTTCAAGTCAGCATCAATTTTTTTCTGTAACGTTGAAAAAGTCTGACTGTGTGTTTTTCTTTTGTTTCCCTCTTTGTATTTCTCACCTTATTCTTTAATCAAGGTTTCCACTGACTTTTATCTTTTACTACTCTCTCCTCTCTATCTGTCTCTAAAGCTGGACTCTTAAACTCTTTTTTTTTCCCTCCAGCCTTTCACACTATCTCTCCAACCTTTTCTTCAACCATCCCCTGTTCCCACGTAGCTCACATCCTCTCCTGCTCTCGCCTGTCCTCTTTCAGACCTTTACTTTCTTCTCTTGTCATGTCTGTATCCATGAGGAACCCACCACAGCGCCGGCGCTCTCTAGGTCCCGTCTCGCCCAAACGCATCTACAGAAACCTGTCCTTCAGACTCAGGGGGGGTGGAGAGTCATCTGTTGCCGCCGACTTGGATGCGCCTAAACGCCCCAGCAAGTCTGCAGATGCTGTAAGATATCCAGGTGTCATTCTGAAAGGGAGCTTTGGTCACGTTGACTGAAATGTCATCTGCCTTGGTTTCT